TGAAAAAACTATTTTACTGTGAATATAAAGGTTTTTGTTTGATTTTTATCATGTGCTCTCAAATAACCAAGTTAATCTCGCTCGTGACATCCATTATTTAATGCAATTTGTTATAAACATATTACTTATCTATATCATTCCATTCCGCAGCATTTTATTAAGCGCAGGCAGTCGTGAAAACAACAGGAGCAACAAGCTAGAAAGAAGTGCCGCATATATAATTCCATTTTGGCTTATTGGAGAGCAAACTTAAGTGTAATACCTAAATACGTTTTAAGCCTAGATAGGTGAGTTATTACCGAAATAAACCATAAAGATCAGCCAAACTAATGTCTTCTCAATCCCCAACAGTATATAACTTTAAGCTCAACAGACAACAGACAGGATGTGGAATTCCGAACCAACACACCGCCAACAGCAGCAGCATCATCATCAGCATAATGGCAACTCTACCTCGGGCGGACCGCCCAGGCAGCTGGGCATGACCTCGGCCATCAGTTTGGCCGAGCCCAGGCCGGAAGATCTGCAGAGGACCGAGGATCTGCGCGGCTCCTTGGAGCCGTACAATGTTTTCGAGAGCCAGGACGAGCTGAACCACCGCATGGAGATCTTGGCCAAGCTCAACACGCTGGTGAAACAGTGGGTCAAGGAGATCTCCGTCAGCAAGAACATGCCAGAGTCTGCTGCGGAGAAGCTCGGTGGAAAGATCTACACATTCGGCTCGTACCGATTGGGTGTTCATCACAAGGGCGCCGATATTGACGCCTTGTGTGTGGCTCCGCGCAACATCGAGCGCACCGACTACTTTCAGAGCTTCTTTGAGGTGCTGAAGAAGCAGCCGGAGGTCACCGAGTGCCGGTCCGTGGAGGAGGCCTTCGTGCCGGTCATCAAGATGAACTTTGATGGCATCGAGATCGATTTGTTGTTCGCTCGGCTCTCGCTCAAGGAGATACCGGATGACTTTGACCTGCGCGACGATAATTTGCTGCGGAATCTGGACCATCGCTCGGTTCGCAGTCTGAACGGCTGCCGCGTAACGGACGAGATCCTGGCGCTGGTGCCCAACATAGAGAATTTCCGCTTGGCCCTGCGCACCATCAAATTGTGGGCAAAGAGTAAGTGCTAAATAATTTTATCCCTATAATAAAAACATAACTAACTTCTTGGATTTTCCTCCCTAGAGCACGGCATATACTCAAATTCGTTGGGTTATTTCGGCGGTGTGACCTGGGCCATGTTAGTGGCCAGAACTTGCCAGCTGTATCCGAATGCTGCAGCTGCCACGCTGGTGCACAAGTTCTTTTTGGTTTTCTCGCGCTGGAAGTGGCCAAATCCAGTGCTACTCAAGCATCCCGACAACGTTAATCTAAGATTTCAAGTAAGCCACACCTCTTAAGCAGGCCTTGCCGGTTAACTAATCCCTTATTCGTTTTGTTTTCAGGTTTGGGATCCTCGTGTCAATGCTTCGGATCGCTATCATCTGATGCCCATCATTACGCCCGCGTATCCACAGCAGAATTCCACATTCAACGTTTCCGAATCCACCAAGAAGGTTATATTAAATGAGTTCAATCGCGGCATGAATATCACGGACGAGATCATGCTCGGCCGTATTCCGTGGGAGCGCTTGTTCGAGGCTCCCAGTTTTTTCTACAGATACCGACACTTTATTGTGCTATTGGTCAACTCGCAGACGGCCGACGATCACTTGGAGTGGTGCGGCCTGGTGGAGTCCAAGGTGCGTCTGTTGATTGGCAACCTGGAGCGGAATCCGCACATTGCCTTGGCGCACGTTAATCCCAAGTGTTTTGAGTTTAAGAAAGGCCAAAGTGCCAACAGTTCGCAGAACAACAGCGGGAATGAGGACGATTTGAAGCAGTCGCAGGGCAGCCAGTCCTCGGTGACTTCAGCGCCCTTTTGTTCGATGTGGTTCATCGGTTTGGAGTTTGAGCGTTCCGAGAACCTCAATGTGGACCTCACCGAGAGCATACAGAATTTCACGGAGCACGTGATGATGCATGGCGTAAGTAAAAGCCCGTAACGGGGAAGCCCAGCCGGCAATAAACCCAAACGCTAATCTGTCTGAACGATTCCCGCAGGTAAACATTAAAATGCTTAAGGAGGGCATGACCATCGATGCCCGCCATGTGAAACGCAAGCAGCTGTCCCTCTACCTGGACGCAGACTTCCTTAAGCGCGAGCGAAAGTCCATGGAGAATCATAACAACTTTAACAACACGCTGCTGGCCAACCGCAAACGGCTCTCTACGGAGCTGGCCCAATCTCAGGATGCCCTGCCGCCAGGTCAGCAGCAGCCGGCAAGCGGCAACCGCGGGCGTGACAGCGGCGCCAAGATCCACAGGCTAAGCGAATCGGTGAGTGGTCTTATAAACTTTAATGTTTATACAAAATAATGTTTAAAAATTTGTTTTTATTCAGCTAACTGAGGAGAATTCGAATGCCTCGTCGGATTTGGGGGCAACCACGCCCACTACGCCCACAGCGGCGCAAATGAATGCGCCCAGCTTCAAGAGTTCGGGTAAAAATGGCTCTGAGATGGACAGCTCGGAGCCGGAGTCGCAGCAGCCGCACAACAACGGCAGCAACAATGGCAGCGCCAACACAGCCAATACGGAGGTGACCTGCTCGTGACAACCGCCAACGCTACACCCACATCCGCCGCAGCAGCAACCGCCGCCCCCGCCGCCGCCGCTGCCGCAGCCCCCCAGCTCACCATCATCATCATCAGAAGTTTCGAAAGAACAACAATGCGGCAGCGGCGGCCGCCTCTAACAGCATTTTTAACCAGCGCTCGATCCTGCATGCGGCTTCCAGTCTATCGGCGGCTCTAAGCATAACCGGACACAAGCGCAAGCAGCAGCAGCAGCAGCATCAGGCAGCGACGTCAACAACCACGATCAGCAGTAGCAACTTTGCTCACAGCAACTATCACCATAGCAACAGCAACAGTAACAACAACAATGGCGGTGGCAGCGGGGGCAACTATCACAAAACGTACTATATTGATGATGATGAGGGGGACAACAACCAACCACATTTGACACCTAACCAACAGCAACCGGCGGCGGTGAGAGCAGCAGTCACATCAACCACGCCAGCTGCACCTGCCGCGCCATCGGCACCGACAATTTCTTGTAAGTTGCTTACATGTTTTCATTCGTTCACGCCCTCTCACCCTTTATCTATTACCTTCCTTCACACGAGACTGTTTCCATACTCTTAAGTTGCCCACCTACTTAACTTAGACGTATTCCAAAACAACAGTATTTCCACCGAAGTGGAAAGCGATCTAACGAAACCTACTTTTAATTTTTAAAATTTTTAAAATCCAATTTAGATAGCCCGAGTCTAAGCTCAATAAATAAAGATGATGAAAATAAACCTAAAAAAAAAAAAAAAAAAAAAAAAAAAAAAAAATTAAACATTTTGGTATTTTTATTTTCCAAATTATTTACAGTACAACCTTTGGCCAGGTTTGTTTGTAGGTTTTTGTATCTGCACGGAAAGTGAGATACAGCTTGTGGGGTAATACTTGTAAAAAGCTTTGTTTAAAAAGCATTTTTATAAAATGCAATTGAATCTTTTTCATACTTTTAATACGTTTATTAATTTGTTTAGTCTAAGATTGAATGAAATTTTATAATAAAATCACTGGAAATCCTTGAGTTAGTCTAAAATAAATAAAAGAAGGACTAAAAATAGTTTTAAAATTACAAGACTTTCGGTTTTTGAAGGATGAAGAATGAATATTTGGGTTTTAAAATAATACGAATTCTCTTTATTCTTAGAGTTAGACTCTTAATAAAGCAATAAAACATTTTTATATTAAATAAAAAAAAGCACTTAGTGGTTTCTTATGCTTTATTCAACAAAATTAATTATTTTAAAACCAACAAAACAATTTTGTGTTGCAAAATGAACTACAAAACTAAACCTTGAGTTCCAAACAGCTAATTTCCTCTGTTTTATTTACAATCCTTGATTTTTGTTGTACTAACCGTTATGCATTTTAATATCTTTGCAGTGTAAAAAGCTATAACACATACCATTTAAGGATTAGTTATCATAGTTATCTCTCCCCATTGATCGGCTTTAATGCCCCATTCGGCTTTAATGCCCAACAAACTGGAAACCCACAATATTTTATAAAAAGCGGTGAGTCCCACCTGGCTCAATGTCTCCACAAAGTTGTAGATTTCTAATTCAATTTTTGTATTCTTTTACAGGTTTCTATCCTACATACAATCCCACTTAAAAGTTATGTTACATAAACTAACATTGCCGAATCGTCAAATTAAATTTTGCATACGGACATCAAGAATCGCGACTAAGACAACATCATATAACCTTTCAGCCGCAGAGACGACAACACTTGTCTAAAATTTGTCTTAATAATCTTGTTGTACATCTTTTTTTACCTTCCCACAGCTGGTTTGAGGAGTGCGTAGAAGAAGAGAGATGTGTGGAATGTGGATGAAGAATGAAGGATGTAGAGGAGGAGGTTTGGAGATGGAGATGGTGGATATCTGGATACATCCTCCTGGAGAACAGCTGCTGCTGCATAAACTACTTACTTAGAAGATTTTTATTATCATTTTACCATCTTCTTGTTTTCAATATTTGTTTTCTTCTCCTTCTAGTTGTACAACGCTGAAAATTTGAAACAATTATGTTCGTTTTTCTAAGAAATGATATCTGAAAAAAGGTAATAACAAAAAACATATAAATGAAATGAAGATATTGATTTAATTTTACCAAATAAACAAGAAAAAAAAACACAAAGCAAAAGCTACAAAACCAAAATGTTGATTTGTTTTCCTTTGGGAAATGTGGGGAATGGAAATTTAATATGGGTGAATTTAAAGTATTTAAAAAATGGAAAGAAGGTAGCTTCGGGAAGCCGAAAGCTGCAATTGGATCTGTCTAGATCGACTCGGCTGTTGATGCCGAATATGAACCCAAATACAAGTATGTTAGTCTTGGTTGCTGATAAATATATTTCTAACATGACACTACTTTACAACTAATTAAATGGGAAATATAACAATTTTGCTTTCGCATTTAGAATTTTTAAGGTTAACAACATATTTGGCCATTATTGTTCAAGTCATAACGATTTGCTGTCGCGGATATTTGGGTATATAGAACTCCATGCGTTGGTTGCGACGGAGAGCGCACTCCTGGTACATCCGCCAGTCGGAGAATTTTTGATTGTGACAGGACTCGGAATCGCCCTTGACAAAGATATCAAGGCGCAGGTCTAATAAAAATTCACGATCAGTTTTCTTCTTGCTGCTAAGGCCTCGCATTAACCAATTCTCGATCTTAAACTCGTTGTAAATGGTAGTTCTGTTCATGCAAACTGTGGTCAGATTCTTTAAGGAGGGATAATAGTTCTTCACAGGATTAGCCTCGATCTTGGCAATTCTTGGCATGTCCTTAAAGCGGTCATCCATAAATGGATGGCCCAATTCGTTGTCGTATTTCGAAATAGTTTCTTTTTGTTTATTTTTTTGCCCTGACGCAGCGGCTCCTCCCCCAGCAACTGCTCCTTCACCTCCACCTTCTTTACCTTCTGAGCTTCCTCCTTCTGCACTTCCACCTTCGGCACTTCCAGATTCTGCGCTTGCTTCTTCAGAGCCTCCCTCTGGAGCTGGCTCATCTTGTTTGTAATAAATTCTTCTTCCAGCTGTGGGACGGCTTTTAGGCAAGCTTGTGGATCCCTTAGGCAAATCTGTGGATCCCTTAGGCAAATCTGTGGATCCCTTAGGCAAATCTGTGGATCCCTTGGGCAAACCTGCGGATTCCTTTGTTACCATCGTCCCCATCGGTCGTAGATCAACACGATTTTTCTTTGGGAATACTTTAAAGCCGCCGACAGACTTCTGAATCCCCGTTTCAAGATCCAAAGCGGCTTGTCTGGCAGTTCTGACCGCCGGAGCGGTGTCAAGTGGCTCTGGATCGGAAGACGGCAGTGGCAGAGCATCATATAGTTGCATTTGCAAACACTGTTAGGGAATTCGTTAAAGCATTATCTTTAGAGGATACAAAATTGAACTCACTATTAACGCTGTAAAAGCCAAAAGAAGGGCCTGGATTGTCCCATGGCGATGCATTATATTCCAAACAGCGAGACTCTTTTTTTAAATACAGAATTTTTTCTGCTCTGTATGTAAGTTGACTTGTGGGAAAAGTGTGATTTGAGAACTCTAATGTAACTATGTGGTCTGATGGAAAGCTTTTTAGTGACTTAAATACCCAGGCAACGAGATTTTTAAAGTGGGAGTTGAAACATAACGAAACTATATAAACAGATTTCCTTGGGGGGTTTTTAAGCCTTAATATATTTATACCCTTGCAGGGTATTATAATTTCAGTCAGAAGTTTGCAACGCAGTGAAGGAGACGTTTCCGACCCTATAATGTATACATATTCGTGATCAGCATCAACAGGGGAATCTTTCTAGATATGTCAGGAAGAAATCGATTTTCTGGCCATTTTTGCAAAATTTTATAAGGGGTTACATCATTAAAATTTTTGATTTTGATAAAAAATTGAATTTTCAAAATTTTTAAATGAAGTATGCAGATTTATTAACTGTAGAAAATCTTGACCAGAACAGTTTTTCGATTTAAAATTAATGTTCTTTTGGCCGAGCTATGATATTTTTAATTTAAAAAAAAATCAAGAAGTTTTTTAATATAATAAATAAATATAAAAAATAATAAGTCAAGGAATCATTTCCGACCCCATAAACCATATATATTCTTGATCAGCATTAACATGCGAATCTTTTTGGACATGTCCGGAAAAATCGATTTTTTTGGCCATTTTTGCGAAATTTGATAAGGGGTTACATCATTAAAATTTGCAAAAAATGGCCAAAAATTTTGATTTCTTAAAATTTTAAATTTGGTATGCAATTTTTTTAATCTAATAAAAACTAACACAAAACTGCTTTCCGAATCGAAAATAATGCATTTTTGGCTTAGTTATGATATATTTTAATTGTTACCTGCAAGGGTATACAAACTTTGGCTGGTCAAAGTTAGCTTTCTTTCTTGTTTTATTTAGTTTAATATTAATTTGTATATTTTTTCATAAATCTGGTGACTTTAGAACTAGTTGTAACCCAAACTAGTCTTAGAACCGAGGCGTAAGACCAACAAATATGTACTTAAGATAACAATTTATCTTATCATTTGTCTTAGTAAACATGGCATATAATTCCGTTTGGCAAGTCTATCAGGACTTTGAGGTACCCAATTCCTTCTTCGGACCATTCCCACTAAGTTTTTTACCTTAGATAGGCTATCGTCTTCTATAATTTCATAAAATATGATGGCCTAAATAATCATATTCAGCTTTCAAGAAATTTTTAATGCGAATATTGAAGTGTTAATATTTTAACCAGAAATTTCCCGCAATAAATCCTAAATAAATTTACCCAGGTAATTTGTCTCTTAGTATAGCGCCTTAGTACAGTCAAGCACATAAAAGTTGAAACTATAAAATCCCACTTCAAATGAAGATCCTAGAGAAGAGTGTCCCAAGGAATGCTCATTTGGTTGGCTTCACTGTCAACAGGTGGTTATTTGAAGTAATGTCCTTGGCTACTGTAGTCCATTCGTCTTAGGTACAGTCACCACAAAATGCTGGGCCAGAAAGTAAAAACTTCTTGACAGATCCTGCGCGATACCTACAACGATTCAAGGGACGACGACACGGGGAACACACTTCGCGCTAACTACCAAATTAACCCGACGGCGATTCCCGATCCCAAGTCCTTTTTGGGCTTAACCTAATTGCGTTTCTGCGAAAATTATGCGCGAACCCAGCTGCGCATTTTTCCCCTGAAACTGAGCTGCATTAATCCGTTTATGGCCACGGATTAAGTTGCAAAATTTTCACGAAGGTCTCCGCGAGCCGGGACGCGAATTCGCGGAATAATCCCGAAACGGACCTCTGCAGGTAAGAACCGCGCCCGCCGCCGCCCACAGGTAAGTGATCGCAACCCATCGAGTCTGGGTATAAAAGGTTCTACCTCCGGCAGATAGATCATCAGTTACCAACGCATCCTCAGAGAGTGAGGTAAGGCAAAGTGAAGCTTCGGCAAAGCAATTATACGACAAACCTTGTTCGGTTTTGCCAATTTCCTAGCAGCACTGGGTAAAGTTTGTCCTATAATCTCAAAACGACGACCAGCAATCCAGTGAACCAGCAAAGGTCCCGAACTTGGGATGCATTTTGTTCAGTCATGTCAACGTGATACTCCATCACTGGGCAAAGTGTGTCTCAAGAACCTGACCACCACGACGGAGACTCCAACAGCAGCACCAAGAAAGTAAAGTTCCAAAAGTGAAAAGAAACAGCTAATTACCAGTTTTAAAATTGAATGGCGATTGTCGGTATGGTCGCTTTTTGAAACCAGGTTCCGATCAAGCGAAGTGACTAGACCGAACACTCGTGCTATAATTTTAAAATGTTCATCAAGTTAGGGGATAAAGTGCAGTTGTAACAAGTTAATATATCCAAACAAGGCGGTTGCAATTAGTTTCTTTGGTCGTCCAGCCTTAGGTGATTTTTCTGATCATAAAGCTAGACAACCATTGAAGTTCGTTGTGGCATTTGCAGCCTTATGATATTCAGGATATGTCCTAAACCAAGTGATATCTCAAGCTAACCAGGGCCATTCGCTAAAAGGAACGATCGTTGTGATATGCGTTTTTCCCCGTTACATATCACAGTGATTTTCCTTTATAGCGCATGTTCAAGTCCAAGATTCAACGATTGATCAGTTCTAAGGTTCTATGAGCAAGGATCACACAGCCTTTAAAGTAGAGAGAATAGCTGCTGCGCTGTATGTTTGCCATCTATATCACAGTGGCTGTTCTTTTTGTACCTAAAGTGCGAAACACCAAGGCTCATTTGGGTTTATATTTTCTTAGTGTGACATTTCTTCTACCGTGGTTAGCCCCAGGGAACTGCTGCTGCTGATATATTATCAAGAATTTCTATATCACAGTGGCTGTTCTTTTTGGTTGCACGGCCAAGTTCAGCGATTTGTCATCAGCGCGGCCTCAGTGTATCATCTCTGTTGGAAAATTGAAAATTGTTCAAAAAGAAGGGAACGGTTGCTGCTGATGTAGTTCTTAAATTCACACAATTTATATCACAGTGGCTGTTCTTTTTTGTTTGGCAATCGATCTACGTTCAGTGGTTACCCAGGACACGAAATTGAAAATATATATATCTACAGCTTACTCCTGATTGGGCCAAATTCCTGGAGAACGATGAGGCGATGGCATCTCGCAGCTTCTGTGTCAATTTGTCATCTATGTGAGCTTTTATCAATAAATAATGGTTACCTCACAAACAACAATCATTTCATTTTCTTGGTTGGGGTTGTGGTTGTGAGAATATTTGGAAATAAATGAAATATTTGCATTTTAAATTGAGCTTTTGGTGAATTTTTAAATGGCATTAAGACAATATGAAGTATTTTTCGTGCTGAAATAATTGGGAAAAAAAAAGAAAAATATACAACACACAGAAAAGATGGAGAGCTTTCTATCTTTTAGGCATTTCTTTAAATATTCCCAAAGAATATGTCCCAATTTAGGCCAAGCTATGTTTTCTAGATGCATTTCCATTTCAACTTTGATCCCTGGCTTTAATCATGCGCCAGGAAGTGTCGCCTTAATGTGGGGGGCCATGTCGTTCTACCAACTTTCACTGCCGCTCCACTGCAATTCCAGGTGAACGAGCACCTGACTTGCATTCATGGAATGGCACGCGTGTGCCGAATGGCCAAAAGTTGGCCAAAAGAAGAACAAGAACAGAGGCTCGAGGCGGCGTAGCAGCTAGCTGCAGGCTGGCCAAATGCAAAACAAGCTAACTGTGAAATGCCATTTTGCATTGACAGTGCCATGGCGGCTCTGTGCCGTAATGAACGTACACATACGTACTGGCTGCCAATGGCCAGCAGCCATTGTTGCAGCATTGTGGCCAAGGACGCAGCTGTCCTGCCACTGCCACAGCTCCCATTCCCCTGTCCGTTGCATTTGCGAGTGGGTTTTGCTAAAATTCCGCTCTCTACCAACCGGATGCCAGGAAACTCAGAAGGAAGGGGAAACCGAATGCCGGAAATGCGATTAAAATGTTCCAGCAGGAAAGCATACAATACAGTAGTCAATGCAAGTTACCATACACGGAGGGGGGAAAGAGTGTTCCTGAAAGAAGTGAGAGCTTATAGCTATTGAGCTTATGGTATTAATTAAATAATAAATACATTTCTAAGATATAAGGAATCAATCTGCTTTAAACTTGCTATTCCTATTCAATAAAATCTCAAACTAAGCTCCTTTGCTTTATAAAATTATTAACAGTTTACCTTTTATTCTGAATATACTGGAATACGCACCTAAAAATTGTACTTAAATGCCGCTACTCAACCTTTGCATTAAACCGATAGAGGTAATTCTCCACGCGAATCTTCTGGCGTAGCACCTTACGCGTCTCTCGCTCAATGGTGGCATTGGTCCCGTCATGAAGATGGAAGAAGGCACAATTGCGGGCGGGCACAAACTGCTTGATCTTCTGCTGCCGACTAAAACGCTCTGTCACCTGCACGCTGCACTTCTTCATGACGGTCACAGCGGCCTGCATGCATGGCCTACACATGTCCTGGTCGTTGCCAAAGTTATGGAAGTAATCGCCCACAGGCTTCTCGCCGCACACCGAGCACCGGGCTAGGTTTACGGGACTGCAGAAGACCGCCACCGAGGGCCAAATGATGCGGTGGTAGCCGAAAGCCATCTCCACGTGGCTGTCTGGGTATTTGAGGTGACGCGTGTAGGTGGAGGGGCTGAAACAAAAGTGGGGGAAGTATAGGATATAGGTTTTATATCTCAAGGATTTTTTAAAGTTTTCTCACGATTTCTATTTAGTATTAACTCACCCCGGAGTCATCCACTTTTGGTCTTTCACAGTCGCCTTTTTAAAGGTGAAGGAATACTGTGTTCCCGGAAAATCGGTGGCATAAGTTCCTACTGGGGGATAGCCAAGCTCCCGGTTGGCCGGCAGGCGTGGCATCTTGTTGGCCAAGGCGGAAAAACCCGCCTTCGATGGGTACTGTAAATAAAAGTTAATCATTAAAGTTTACGTAATATATAGTCCTAAAATTACCTTGAAACCAATAGTACTGGGAACATCGTAGTCAGCAGGACCTGCAGCTGGCGGCGGTGTCTTGACGTAGCTGTCGCGGACGAAGTTACCCTCCGAATCCCTACGGATTTTCTTCAGAAAACCAATCGTGGGCCACAACGGCGGATTAACCACATACTCGAAACCTGCAAGAGCGAGAGGGTCCTGGAAGTTTAGCGATCAAGGAATTCGAAGGATGTCCACCTAGTTCATTGCAACGGGCCACAATAAGACGCGTCTCCGAGCGCTGGCGACGTAGTTTCTCGCGCTCCTGGGCATTGGGTCGCTGAGCACGCATCTTGGCTGGAAGTTGGCAAAGGACTGGCCCGCCAGGGTTTAAGCCAAAATCGACGCTCTGTCGAACCGTGACAGCCGCCGCAGCACACGCATCGCAGCACGCACCAGGACACACTCCCCCACATCGATGATATAAAATCAATATGTCTCAACCGTCAGACGGTATGCCGCGAAATCAGTATACGATGTTTGATTTCATTTGGCACACGTCTAGACGGCTTAGCTCCCTTCATAATAATTCAATGTTTCTATTTTTCTACTTTTCTACTTTAGTATTTTTCTATTTTCTATTCCATTTTCCCCTGTTCGGGCTGACTGACTGAATGACAGAGACTGACTCGCTGAACTTTGACCCAGTTGGCCCAATTTTGTTCGGTCTTAATAGCTCCGGAGGGGTTCGCGGAAATGGGGCATAAAGTGGTTTGTCATTGGTGTCGATAACAATAGGTGGGTGGAAATTGTTTTGCAGTGCGTGTTGTGTTTCGAAAAAACATTTAAGCTCTAACCGTGTGGAAGGAAAGCAGGTTTTCAGGGCCTTTATATTCCCAACAGAACTAGTTATAATTTGAGAAGGCCTTTCCTAACTTTTCAACTTCAATATATAAATTCTACAAATTAAATTTCCCATAAAAGAATATCTTTACCTGAAGGACATTGTTCTGGCACTTACCCTCCATTGAGAAAAAGTCCTACAGCAACAGATTTGACTACCAATGAGCAGCAATTAAAATTTTGTTAATAAATGGCTCACAATGCCAATTTGGCAGACTGAAATGTTGTCGACAACTGATTGTCAGACAAAAATAAAGGCTTTTCCCTGACATTTTATGGCTTGGCAAAGTTTTCAAAAATATTTTCTGAAATATGTATTACGTACCTGACCAAACTCGAGAGGAATGTGCCAAACTGAATATACACATCCGTGGAAAATATGCACACGCTAGACAACGACGATTGCTTTTCAACAATTTTCCGGACGGTTTCGCCTGCAACGGCTTCCTGGTGTGGCTTTTAGCAACGGAATGGCTGCATGACATTAATGCCAGTTAACCCCGACATTGTCATCAGCTGCAGCCACCAGGGCTTGGCTTGAGGTTTTTACTTTTTGGGACCAGGACCAGGACTTTAACGTCTCCAGCCGCACACTTTTCCACCTGCATTTCCACCTGTCCCCCAGTTGGCATACATACGCACGCACATGAATGCTAATGTTGCAGCGGCGGCAATGGCGGCAGCACGCACAAATGCACAACCGCAGTGCAGCCACAGGAGCGCACAGGCAGACATCCACATCCGCCAGGATGAAGACAGTGGGTAAGAGTTGTTTTTATAAGGATTAAAATATAAAAAAGACACTCTTTTAATGTTAAAAGAAAGTTATTAAATAATAAAAATACCACTTTTATGGCAAGTTTCTCATTTATTTAATACTTAAAACCTAGGAAAACACATTTAATGATATCCAGATTTCTGATTACAAAAGATCTCCTAGTTTGTTTTGACCACTGTGCCAATATCAGGACGAGAGCTGCTTAATTCGTGCAAATAAAATCATTGTGCAACATATGTTTGGGTCGGCAGTGGGTCTATTATAATATGGTGAGGTGGCAGCAGTTGGCTGGGCGAGCAGGACGCATCTCAAGTGGCACCGCACATCCTGTCCTGTAGTCCTAGAACTCCTAGAGCTCGGAGCACGCCACATTGTTGCCACAAACTTGCAACGCAATTACACTGCAATTGCGCATTATTCAAGTGTTTTGATTGCTCACGAAATTCGTAGGCGGTGTGCGAAATGTTAATGAAAGGAGCAGAAAGCTGCGCCTCGCAAGGGGAACAACATGGGTTAATTATGTCAACAATTAGACTGTTGTGCACTCGGGGAGTTCCTGGATCAGGAACAGTAAATGGACCGGGTTCCTGGTAAATGGTAAATGGAAAAGGGTAGTAAATGGCAAATGGAAAATGGAGTTGAATTCATTAAACGTAAACTATACCAGTTCTGTGAAAAACAAACAATTGCTCCACTGCTGCTCGAGGCGTGGTTCTGCCATTTTGGGCTAGCCAAGTGCCATGTCCTACACAGGCAATTACAGCAACAATGGCTTCTGCCAGCCATCGAGTGAAATGCAAATAAAAATGCACCGACAGCAACAGCAACAGCACCACCACCAGCAGCTTCGTCTCTGGATCCAACTCCAGTTTTGCGGCATCTCCATTTTGCAATGGCACGCAGGGGGCTGGCAAAAAGTGCCCACAAACGTGCCATTCACATGCAAAGGCCAGAAATTTCTGAGACTGCCGACTGATTGCACTAAGAAAAAGTATAGGTTAATTCTTAATATAAAAGTAAAGAAATGTAGAAAATCTGTTGACTAAATAATAAAAGCTTATGATAGTCCTTAAGATTAAAAATAAAACTTATAATTTATATTTTTTTCAACTTTTAACCAGTTTTTTCTTGACTTTCTCTCAATGGTATTGTTTTTTTTTTGTGGGTGTCCGGAAGTGACAGGGACCTGGTCCGGGTCCTGTTCGTGCTCTTTCTCCTGTCTCCTAGCCGAAACGAAAATTTGACTCACAATAAAAACAGGACCTGGGCTGGACCAACAACAATAGCAGCAGCAGCAGCAGCAGCAGCGACGTCGCCAAAAACAAAAACAGTTTAAGTCCACTGTGGAGCGGAAGTGCCGCTTATTACGCAGGATGTGGTTAACCGGAAATGAAACGAAACAAGCCAAGTGCGACAAGTTGTCCTTGTGCCCCCGTGTTCCTTGTTTATGGCCCAAATGCGTGACGCTCACGCTCTCTGAAGTGCATCCAAAAACTAATAACGTTCGGAGGCCTTTAACTTGGTTTGCCTGCCTTTCTTTGAGCCACTCAAATTGGCGCTCAAGCAGCCACCCTTTGTTGGTCCTGGCTAGCAATCAGCAAATGTCAGGCCAATAGCTAACAGTCAGCTCACAAACAGGCAGCAAACAGCGGCGGCCGCCGATTGCCAGGATGACGTTGAAATCGAATTACAAGATGCCCTGACATTTTCCCACTCGCCTCCCCGTCTAAGCCAAACGCAACTATACCAACCATGGCCACCCGTTAAACCACGCCCCCCAATCCACTGGCAGTCGTCGCCCCCTCATTATCCACCCCCCGCTGACCCAAATTCAATGCAATGCGTTTGCAATTTGTGCGCCAATGCGGCGGGGTTAATCATGCTAATAAACACCAACGTTGCACTTGCAGTTGTCGCTGCTGTTGCTGCTGCTTCTGCAGCTGTTGCTGTTTCTGTTGCTGCTGTTGATGTGGCTCCTGTTTCCATTTCACAGTGAGGAAGGAGGATATAACCGGAAAGGGGTTCGATGGGAAAATAACCTGTGAAGAAAGTATTAAAAGAACGATGAAAGGTAGCGATCGTGCACTTTTGGGCACAATTTTAATAGATTTGTAAATCTTATTTAATAGGTAATAATTTATTATATTTTTAGTTCTAAGCTTAAAGTAATGAAAACAAAATTTTCCTTGTATTGCTTGCTTAATCCAACACCTATATACCCCTTCAATATCCCAGGTCCTGAGCCTGAAAAGCCTTGCATACTTACGGGCTGCGAAGTAAGGATTTTGGTCCTGGCCCAGTGTCGATACAGAACCAATGTTCGTCCGTCCGTTGCTTTTTGCGGTCGTTGCGTGGCATTCGCCATTCAAGTAGGGCGATTGTGTTGCGGTCGAGGTGGGAAAGGGGCCCCGCTATAGCTGGAAATCATACAAAATTGTAATGATTATGCACGCGCCTAGTTGGCAGTCAATTGTGGTCAGGTTCTCATTTGTGTGCGGGCCCAAAGTGGCCCCATTAATGGGTCTAGATGGTGGCAAATACGGTTGATGGTAGCTGCCAGTTTATTGTAATGCAAACACCAGCTGTTTCCACAGAATTCTTAACAATTAAGGCAAAAGGTTTCTCATTAAATTGAAAAGAGAAAAATTATATTTTTAGTGCTCGTTTTCCATTCCCTTTGCTCAATTTCTCTTGAAATTGAGAATTTCCCTTTGCCAAAAAAATGTACTCGTATGATCCAGCCAATATATCATGCATGATGTGCTGAGCCAACGCAAATCCCCGGCACATTATCTAATGATTTACTGAAATTGTCGGTCCTGGCCTTACAGTGAAATGAGAGTGAAACTTTCTTGACACAGCAAAATGCATATGTGTGTGGGAGGAGGGGTCACACACAAACACACACAACACACACTCACATGCTGTCAGCACAAAGAGCAAGCCAAGCAGGCAAAAGCAATCCTCAGCTGCCGTCTCATCATTTCAGCTGTCACATTAAAAATGCATAAATGTTGCCTAAATGCAATCCAAGAAATGCAACTGGCCGTAATACGTGCAAAAACTAAGGGGGTAAGGTGAGGAGCAGGGGCAAGGCGCCTCCAACCAATCAAAGTGTTCCATAGAAGCGGTGGCAGGGTGGAGGTGAAAGGGCGAGCGACGAGCTGAAGCATACAATTTGTAACTCGCCTGCCATTTTGTGGGAAAAGATGGTAAAATGCACTGGGAAAAACTTACAAGAGATCTCAGAATTATATAAAGGATTTGAGACAATGAAACACAAGGTTATACATCATAAAAACCATTACATTTGGCTAGAAGTTAACTGGCTAACAGAAATCTCTAATGATTTTAAATCTTTTCTTAAGAAGCACCCCCATATAGACTATCCAAAATCTGTAGAGGGTACTCCTTGACCTATAAAATCCCCTATAGAATGAAAATACCTTAAGTCCATTCCCTCAGTGCAGATGCCTTTGGGCCTCCGGCCTTGTCTTTACCTTTACCTTTGCCATTGCCTTGTCTGATGTTGCCTACGTTGCAGGTGCGAGGCTTGGGATTGGAATGGGATGTGGATGAGGACGTGGAAGTGGGAATGGGAATGGGAATGGGAATATGTTCCTGACTGCGGATGTGTGTCTGTGGGGGGACTCTGTGCCTGTTTCTCTGCTGATTGTCGTACTGTTGATCTGTGTTTTCACTTAGATATTGGCCCGGGGGCCGGGCGATAACGGTACGTGTGTGCTACCATCGATACAGGAAGTTTGTTTGTGGCCAACTTGCTGAGTGGGCAGGACTTGGGTAGCATGAGGAGCCTCCGCCTGACATGATGGGTATGCGGTGGGGACCAGAAGCGTATGCCAGGCGGATTGCCTGTGGAAAGTTCTGCTGAAGGCTGGCCCAAAAGTGCACAGCAGAAAGACGACTGGCAGGCAGGCAGAGAGGCAGGCAGGCAGGCAGGCTTTCGTTATCCAGTAAGCAATCGTTTCAAATTGAATTTTCTATTTACCCAGTCGTCGATATGTTTGGAATTGCCCAACGACTCTCGGTTCCTCCTTTCGATTTGTTTCGCCAAGTTCTCCAGACAAAAGTTAAGCCAAATGAGTTGCACTCAAATATGGATGTACCGCCCCTCGAGGCAGAGTGTAGTTTTTCGCCAAATAGGATTCCAACTAGCCCCCGATAAACGGTCTTACGATTAGCGTCTGCTCTGGGTGTTAATTTTATTTATATATTTTTGGAGTATATAGTCCCCTGATCAAGCTCTATTATTTCTATAATAATTCCAAAACAATTCCACCAGCAGACATATGAAGCTGCCTAGTAAAAGCAAAATATACAACTTGGTCAGCGACTCAAAGTCCTTGAGGGTTAGGCTGATAAACGGTTTATAGTCATCCGTCAGCTGCACCACCAGACCAATCCGGATCGCCTCCTGGTTGCTCCTACTAATCCAGTGGTTCCAAAAGCCAAACTGACGCGAGTGGGTGCTGAATTTATAGAGGTTGCGTTCGAAGGGCGAGTTCCACTGCATCGGAAAGCGCAGCACTTGGTAGGCGGTGCAGAGCTTGGAGGCCACACGAAAGTATGGCCGGTTCATGCGGCGCTGCTGCAGCTGGACCACAGTCCAGTGCTCCACTGTGGTGCAGTAGGCGTAACTGGTATTCAGATTTTCCAAGTGCTCCCGCAGCGTCGTCCTGTTGACCACCAGGAGGCGTGGCTTCAGCGACGACGGTAACAGTCCTGTGGTAAAGTACATTTGCATTTCTGATTCCGTGAGCATGAGGCGCAGGGGCGTGGCCAGAAAGTCCTTGGCCGTCTCTATCTGTGGCCCCGGCAACTAAGATAAACAAAAGGTTAGATGTACCCCTATTAACACGGTTTTAAATATCTTACCTGAGAGGTAAAAACGGACGATAAATTCCCAGTACGCAATGACCACAGGACAAAGGAGGCCAGAAGCACGGCGACATGGATGAACTTGTACGGATCCCTCAGCCGTTGGAACTGTCCGCCTGGTAGCGATTGTTGGAAAAAGGCCACCAGGGTAAGTTGGATGCCCCGCCGCCCTTCGGTGCGCACCAGCTGCCAGGCCAGGGTTGTGACCAGAAGGAGTATCAGAAAGAAGCATCCATTCACACGGATCGCATGGCGCATGAATCGTGCCGAAGGCGATTCACGTATCCATGGCACCAGGACACACGTGTTGGTGGCTGCCAGCGGAAAGCTGCCGGCCGTTTGCGAGGAGCCCAGCTGCATCGGCGAATAGGGATGGACGCCCATCTCAATTTCACCGCGGGCAGCGGCCAGCATCAGATGCTCCGGGTAGTTATACCTGTCCACACCGGCCACGGGTTCCAGTCGGAGGCGACCTCGTCTGTGCCTCACATAGGCGTGCAGCATGTAGCCCAGGACTCCGGATATTTCACCATTTGGTAGCTGAAAAATGTAGGTTAAAGTGAAATGAAATGGTTTAGCTTAAGACTAAACCAGGCTAAAATAAAACCCTCTATTTACTCACCTGAAAAACAACAGGAGGATCTTGAAAAATAGGGACCTTAAACTCGTAACCCCTTAGGTCCATCAATATATCCAAGTGCTGGTATCCCGTCTTGGTCAAATTCAGGAGCGTTAGTTCCGGAAAAGGAGTGTAGGTAATTAGTTCATTGTGCCACTGGACGCTAACGAATTTACCAATTTTAATAACTGTATTATAGTGGAATGTTAACATGACATTGGTGAATCTATTCCGCCAGCACCAAGCAAAAAATATTTTCAATTCACTCGTTGTCGGTGGTTGGTCCCCCAGGCGTTTGTAGATGAAAAGCATCGAAACATAATGCTGGCCAGCCAAACCGTCCGTAAGGACATCGAAAATGGGCTCCTCCGAAGCTAGAACACTCGAAATACTGACATAAACCAAAGTATTGTAGCCCAAAAGGTGACGTAGACTAATATTCCGCCTCAATCCCCAAGTCACAATGGGCATTTGGAACTCTTCGGTAAGCGATTGCTCCAGGGATTCAGGCACAATTCTTGGTGAACGCTGCAGCTCCCTGCTTACTCCATATACGGCCAGGGTTTCGATTTGATTCTTGGCTATCATCTGCCGTGTCAAATTATGTAAGAATTCCGATTCATAATTGCCACCCTTAAAGGGATAAATAGGTTTGGTTAGAGCACCGGGAAAAATGAAAAATCCGCACACGAAATATAACACACCGAACATTATCCTTAGACTGAACTGAATAGAAGCATGTGACCCGACCAAGAAGTCTGTAAGTTATTTTGTTTTATCTCTGAAAGTAGATCTCTAAGTTTAAGCTAACATTTGCGCCAGTCATGGAGTCTAAAAGGGATGAAGTTGTATAATTATAAGCCCTAATTAAAGGCCAATAATATTTGAATGAGTTGGCAATTTATGTTTAAGGATTATAAAATTGTACAAGAGTGACGTCAATTTACAGTGGGTTCTACAAATACATCTAATGGAATTGGAATATATGTTTTTGAGAGATTTGTTCTTTGAATAATAATCATTTTCTTTACAAGGTTGAACCTTAATTATAATTATTAAATTTTAAACTATTCCCAGTTTATTTCCTCAACCAATTAAAGTTTAAATGAATATTTAACCTGCACTTCTAAATACTAAACCGTACAATTATCTCAGCCAAATATAATTTCCCCTGTTGACACCTTTACAATCATGGCTGCCATCTTACCCCCGATTCGTCGTCACTCACCTTCTGGTGAACTGAAACCCCTCTGGAATGATTGATGCTCAAGTTGATTGATGTCTCTTTGCGGCGGGATGAACCTCTTACTTGCCGCCGGCAAGTCTGTCGAAAGTTTCGCCAGCAACACACACAGGGCACATGGCCCCCGAAAAATATTATTAATATCAGATGGCAGTGTCGCTCAATTTAAAATATTACTAGCAAACACATTCCGTGAACTTGAGTAATTTTTTACAAACAACTTTTGGAATTACTTAATCGCAAAGTTCTCGGGCAGAGAAATGTTTGTCGAGGAAGAAGAAAATGAAGACAGGACAGAAGGAAACGAAAGGAGCGAAGCGAAAGGTAGGCGGCACATAAATTGTGTTTATTATGAAGGCTGTAGCATACTTTTGTGCGCAATTTAAAGTGCAAATACGAAGAGCAAACGGGGAAATCCCCTCCCCCAGACCAATCTGTTTTTCTTCCCTCCCCCAGTTCTCTCTCACGCATTTCATTAAAGCGCAATGAAGACATTTTCCGGTGGGGGAGGCCTGCGTGTGTGTGTCGGTGTGTGCCGGGGGAAAGCTGTTAAAAAATATTTGAAACACTTGAATGTTTCCCAACTGACACTAGGCCGTGGGGTTGGCATCTTCGCGGCCCTTGCGAGCTGCCCCATAAAGAACAATAAATATTATTTATGGCCCCGGTGATAAGGATACACACACGCACACATTCCTTCGCAGCTGCAGTCCGCCATCACAGGTCCTGTCGCTTGTATTTATATTTCTCCATATCTAATCGGTGGCATTCCTGGCATGCAAACAGAATGAAAATATTTGCCAAGGTATGTAATATACTGGAAATATATTAGAAAATAAATACAATAAGAGCTTTATATTGAGCTACTCAGGCTTTTATTTTATGTAATTTGTTTTACTTAAAAATTTAGTTAATTATCATCAATTCAGTATAAAATCTTACCTTTAAATGGTTATAAATTCCTTTATTTCCATATTTTTAATGGCTTTCTATTTATATTTTTCTCTGTGCAGGAACCCTTTGCTGTGTTTCGTCGAGTGCCCGCTAGGTGGCTTCCTTTATAGTTGGCCTAATGAACTCGCACACACGTACATTGGGCGGGCATAAATGAGCCTTTGAGCCCGCCATTTTAAACACCTGCGTCACATAAAATAAAGTCACACCTATACCTACAGCCAAGGCACAGACGTGTGTGTTTACCTGATAAATACGGGCGCAAAACCGGCACAGAGACAGGCTCGTGTTTATTTTAATAATGTTAACCTAATTAAGTGATTAATATGCAAAATGTGCGCAGAGATTAAAACGATGAGCGCGCACTGTGTTTAATTATCGAATTAATATTTTTTTCATACCGCCAGCTGGCTGGCTGGCTGTGTGTGAAAATCGTTAGCCGTCAGTTTAAGGTTAAAGTGCGATAACAATAGACCTAGTTTTTGTGCATGTGTTTGAGGTTTTGGTAATATCAGACCATTAATCAAGAAACTGTCTGGGCTGACAGGAAATTTTACGCCTCTGACACTAACAATCGCTTGTTTACATGTGAAATTTGCCATCTCAGATAAGGCATTTAATTTTGAGTTTGCAGGTTAAAAGGTAAAATAATTTTGAGAGCTCTTAAAGCTGAATTTTACTTTACCAACACCTGTATTTATTTATTAGAATCACAAAAGCTTTTAAAAATTGGAAAATATAAATGCAAAGCTCAATTTATGGCATATTTTAGAGGGGGCTTAAAGTAAATACGAGCTCACAAATAACACACATAAAAACCAATTTACTTAGATTTGGTTATTTATTTCCCAAAGTAAGCAGATACAATATGAATTTACCGACAAATTGGAAGCCTAATTTATATCGCTTTGCTCGGCCACACATCAATATGGGTTTACAGGGGAAAATTTGCAAATGTCCACACGCCCTTTGCCTTTGAAGTCGTCACCACTATTTGGATTTGTTTCCCAATCAGTAGTCGACATTATATGCGGGCTATATTTGCATCATTAATAGATGTGTGTAGAGGGCTTTATAATTCACGAAAGTCCCTTTTGGCAAGATGTTTAATCTATGCAAATATTGATCTAGAGACCTGCCTGAGTCGGCCATTAATCCAAAGATAATTTCTATTATCTCTTGAGTCAATAAATTTTGCTGAATTTATAGAGTTTGGTATTCCAGGTGCTGCGCTTCAAGTTAATAAAGAAACTTCTGAGTTTTGGTCCTTATTCCCAGATGAACATCTGCTCCATTTCACTCATCCTCTCGAGCGTCCGATTAACGTATATCCGGCAATTATTTGCGAAAGTGTTACTGCCAAAAAGTAGGCAAGGCGAAGGAAGTGTTTTGCATAAGCCTTCGTCCTGCAATCTTTCGACACTAAAAGCTACTCAACGTTTTCCTTTTCTTCTGCCTGCTTTCAAGCAGCTAATTGATGAAAGCTCCAAATGGTCGTGTAACGACAGCTGAGAAAAAAAGGGGAAAAAAAGGAAATCTCTATGAGCCTTTTTTACGCTTTAAAAGGTGCTCCTGCTAAACGTTGATCATTTATATAGAGTGGGGACAGGAGAAAGGCCTTGGCCAGCTGTAGGAGAAGGAGGATGGCTTTGGAAATTAGAATTAATATTTTTTCGCTGAGTTTACACAATTTCAAGTTGGCTGGCGCGAAAAATGCATGCTCTGGTCAACATCCCCAACCCATAAGCACTGTTGTTGCCAAGCGGGCTGCGTGTTTGGCACCCTTTTTTATGTCCTTATACCCTTATTTTTTAGGTTTTTATTTATATTCAGATTTAATTTAGGAGAAAAGTATACAAAATCATTTCTTTTAAACAAAATTTACTTGGGATTTTAGTATAAAATTATAAAATCGTTTTAAGAAGAGTTTTTTGAAGATCTAAGATTTATTTCCAGAAAAAATGTGTTTGTTTTTAATTAAGTTATATAATAAATTATGAAATTTAATGATAATAATAATAAACTGCTTAATTTTATACAATTGACACCATTCGTATTATGAGTTCTCCTTTTTATACAAATACTATATCCACTTCCATCTCTTGACCCCTTGCCAGGGTATTCCCAGCTTCGATTTCCTAGAACTGTTCCTTCCTTCCTCCTGTTGTGTGTGTGTTGCAGGTGAGGTGTGCAGAGGTGAGAAGGAAGAAAGGAGCCCATCTTGCTGCTGAGCCAGCGTGCTGCAGTGGTGCATTCGTGGCAGCTCCAGATGCAGCTGCTGCAGCACTGATAATAAATTCATGATGAAGTGTAATTTATACACTTCATATGCGCCCAGCTTTCCTTTTGGCCCTTTTCCAGCCCTTTCTCTGGTGTTTTTTTTTTTTTTTTTTGTTACCCCTCTCATTTAGCGAGCTTGACAGAGGTCTGACCCAAAAGGCGAAAAACTTTCCTCAAGGCCTGCCAGCCATGCATTAAACCTTGAAATGTTTGCGAGCCTGGGAATTCGCTAAAAACTAATTACAAATGCCGCCCAGAACGGAAAGAAAGTCGAAAGCTGTTTGCCGCCTGGCTAAAATTTCATTTCAAATTAATCTAATTTTTTGAGGTTCTATTTTTCTGGGGTTATTTTTTTTTCTTGTGGCTCTCCTTCGGTTTCGGGTCTGCGGGATTGCGTCTAATGAGAAATGCTGATTTTGCACTCTGCATGACGTTGCATACCAATGAGGGGGTTCCGGTGATGGTGGTGATGATGGTGGTCCGGCAGTGGTCTTGGCATATGATTTCCCTGGAACTGGCCTGCATAATTGCATAATTAGTGGTTAGGTGTTATGTAAATGGTTCTGGAACTACGTTGATTGCCTCTACGCACAAGAAAGTGACCTGCTAATGACTCAATGGCAGCTAATTGGAGAGGCGATACCACCTCGATTAATTGATGACTTTTCGATGAACTTCAAGTGGCTAAACCACGAATTATGAGTTGGTGTTTTCGGGGGATACTTAAAGTGCTCGTATCACTCACCAAATATGACATCTAAGTAGAATTGAATGTCCATTTAAATTGTTAAATACTCGAGTGCCATTCCCACGTCACTCTAACCGAACGACAGCTTGACTACGTATTTGCTCGGATGTCTATCTGTTTACCTTTATGATTATATGCATTTGGTATTGGCCCCGGCTGTTGGTCACTTAGTTTTCACCTGCCATCCTTCTGTCTGCTCTGAGCAGCTCTTTAGCACCTTTGAGGTGCCTTGGTGTGTGTTTGCCCAGCAGAGAGTAAATATTATGGACATATACATATACTATATGCATTCACGTGTATGCATCGGACCATATTTGGTTCCGCTTAAATTACCATAGGAACATGTTAGATGAATGCAGCTTAATTTTCGGGTTCGCTTAGGACTTGGAAAATGGATACTTGCTAGTCATTTGTGGTAAATTCAAATAAAATTGCTGAAAATCGATGCTCTGGTGTCTGGTTCAAATTTCAAAAAGGGTCTTGCTTTGAAATTTATTGGTTTAATTGGGGAAGAAACTAAGATATTCATTGGTTCTATTCAAATACAAGGTTATGCAGCTTTAATATGATTTTCATAGAATATTAAAAAAATAAAAGAAAATTCAGAAAAGAGTTTAAACGTTTAGATACATTAAAGTTTCTATACCTAAAGCTTAAAAAAATCTATAAATCTGTGATTTAGAACTAGTCTGCGGCTTTCTACTAGTTATAAATCTTTATAAAAATTTTCAAACATTTTAATGTTTAAAATTCTTCTTTAATTTAAAATATCATTTTTCCCTAATATTATGCTTCTAGTGCAGACTTTCCTCATACCCAGCGATCTCTTAACTTAAACAAAACTAATTTAAATTATTATTTAAACAGTATTACTTGTATTTTACCTTATATTTCCCTTTTCTTTGAGTGTTTAACCAGCCAAGTCGGCCTTTAAGTAGGGCCCTCTTGCCCAGCGATCTGTCCAGTTGTGAACGCACCTTCGTACCGAACACACGTGCCCCGCCAAGACGCGTCGCAATCAATTCTTCTTTTCGACTCGTATTAGAACTGGTTTCACCCCATCGAAATGCCACTGATAGCCCTGGCCCTGATCGCCTTTGGCCTAACTCTGGGCCAATCACTGCCCATCGATGAGGGAGAGTCGGCGCCGACGGTGGTGACCGGCGAGCCGGCAGAATCGACGGCAGGGCGAGTGGTCTTCGACCAGCGGCAGACGGGTCGTTTCAACATCCATGTGAGCATCAAGGATGTGGCCATCATCGAGGTGGGCCAGAATGGGCTGGCCGAGGTGAGTGTGTGCGGAGAGCGTTCGTTTGTTGGTCCCAAAAACCAGTTGGCCAGCTAAAAATAACCTGGGGATCTCTCAATTAGGAGACATACAACGATGAGGAGGATTACTATTACGATGACAGTGCGTTGACCGTCAAGCCGATCAAGCTGACCACAGAGGCCAGTACCACGACAAGCACCAGGGCGACTTCGCAATCGGTGGCTCCACCAGAGACCACAGAAGCCACTACACCCAGCCCCAACTCCAGCTTCACCTCCAGCCTGTTGGCCGACATAGCAGCCAGTGTAACAAAACCCAAGTCCCGGCTGAATAACTTAATGATTGTGGAGACACCCATTGGTGGGGTCACTAAGGCTCCACACCTGCATCCACACCCACATCCACACCATCCGCTACATGGCAGGTCCAAGGATATACCCACCGTGGCCGCCGCTGCCATAACGCCGCCTTCCCTGCCCGATGGCATTGAGTATACACCGCCCAAGGGTCCCAACTCTCCCATTTTTAAGGTGAAGGTTCAACGATCTTCGATGCCCGCCGCCAAGAAGTCAGCCGCCGCCGCTGCCCGCTGCCGGGGCCACCAGGTGCGGGATGCCCATGGCAAGTGCTCCGACTCGATCTAGTAAGCCAAAGCATAGATAGAATCCCCACTAAGCCTCTTACGAAACCTAACTCTTTCCTTCTTTTTCTATATTTTTCCAGCAGAAAGCTGTACAGCATGCTGGTTGGTCTGAATTTTCCCTTTTTGGCAGCCGCCAATTCTGCAGATAGTGTTTGATGACTTGACAACTAAACGAGCTATAAGACATAGAACTTAAGTGCCACTAATTGGGTCTTAGCCTTGAGCGTGAAATATATTGACTGAAAGAAAGGCTATTGTCTGAATTTATTCTATTTAATTTTGTGGAAAAATATTAGCTGCTTAGATATTTTTATTAGAGATTAAACTAACTACATATTTAATAACATATTTAGGTTTATTTAATTATTATTTTTATTATTGCTATATATATTTAATAATGTTTATATTGAGAAATTATAAAGCTCTTCTGTATTTTAGTAATTAAATCATATTAAACCCTTAATTTTTGTAAGTTTTTCTCGCTAAAAATATATATTTAAAATTATTTTACCATCCCAAAAGCATTGACAATGCAAGAAGTCTTCTTTTAGTGTCCCCAGTGGAGTATAAAAATAATATATTTCCCAAATAAATACAGTATGCTGCATAGTTTTTCTCAAACTTTCCTTAAAATCCTATGTTACAGACAAACTTTTTTCACAATAAGCCAAAAAATGTTCATCTCATATGCTAGTTAACAACTTGCAACGCATAAAGTCAGTTTAATTTAAATTTGTACTCAATTTAAAATAATTTCCGTTTGACTTTAAAACACTTTCAATGTTGGCTGTCAGTGGGAATTTTAATCTGTGCAAGTTTTTCAACAGATCCCTTATTAATATGCCGGTTTTTTTTTCGTAAATTGCGAATGTCAGTTGATGAATTGCATTTAATTGGTTAATGGAGAAATGAATTGCATTGCCGTGGCGTATACACATATATGTTGTGGCGCTCGATTTTCTTTGGTGAGCCATTTCCAGGCGTAAGCCAATTTTTCACCTTATATAACGCGGGTTTTATTGCCACGGACATTGGCACGGGTTTTGCTTTATCAATTTGTGTTTGTAATTTCCGCATGCGCTTAAAATGCAATTTCAGTGCTGAAAAAGCATTGTTTTCTGTCTGTGTTTGTGAGGTTGCGATGCGATGTGCTGCTTAATTGCAACTGTTGCTTTTGTGTGTGTGTGTGTGTGGGGCAAATCTTTGGGGCGCACACGTTGCACACACCGAGCCGTGCTCTAATTAAATTAATTGCTTAATTTTAAGTTAATTTGCCACATGTGGCAAGTTGTCCTCGTCGTCCAGGATTGGCTTGGCAGCAGGAGCAGCAGATGCTCAGCATCTCTCTCGGTTCGGGCCATAAACTACCGGCTCTGGCCATATTCCCACAGCAACTGCATTATCCCGGTGGGCGTGATTGTGTGCGGGGCTTCAATCGACTTTAAACTTAATGCCCACAATGGCCTGGCCTATACATGAAATTGCAGTTAGCCAGAGAGTGCGTAATATACCATTTATTTACTAGACACATTTAAGTAAGACAAGACCACTTGAAAACATTTATTCAATGGCCAATGAAACATTTCTGGTTTCATTTAAAAACGTTTAAAGACCGGTTAAGGGATTACTTCTTGATATTGACAGTGTCCTTTAGTTTAAGCTTTTGTTATGCAATCTTTTAAATTTATTCCCACTCCCTCTGAGCGCCCAGGAACGACAAAAACTTATGCCTTTCAGGGGCAACTTTGTTCTGAAATCTTTTTTGCCAAGTCGCCCGCACTAATTACCTACATTAGGCCACCTGCACAGACTCGTCGGCACACTCAATTAGCAACTGTAAACTGCAATTTCTATGCAGGCCAAGTGAGTCGTCGTCGTCCTGGCCAGAAGCTCAGCTGGGCAACTTTGTTGCTTTCCTTGGTCCCTGCATTATTTATGCCCAACCCCTTGACCTTTCGCCAGAGCTTAAATGCTATGTTTTTTTTTTGTCAAATTAAAGCAAAGCTAAATAAGTCAGAGACAAAGGGGAAGAACAACAGTTAAACGGAAGCTGGGCTCCAAAAACGCGAACAACGCGACAACTTTCCGAAAAACCGGAAGTGTAGCAGACACAGCGGCGAAAGTGTGCGCTTTTGGATTTGGTTGTTCGGCCATAACGGATGCGGGGCGCCATCTTGCAGTTGTTCACAAACATGGCGGCAAAGCCCAAAGCCATAAAGCCACCCAGCGCGGCATCTCCCTACCCTCTCCCTCCCTCTCTCTCTCTCACTCTTCGTGGCGCAACAATTGCATTTTATTTATTGCATAACTAGAGGCGTTTATGGGTCCGAGAGTGGAAGAGGAATGGCAAAACAGCAGCAGAATTGTGGAGCACTCATCCTCCAGTATCTCCTCTCGGATGGAGCATGCATACCCGCAGTCCAGCATAATAATTACACTCGCTATCAGCGCCGACATTTCGCAATGAAAAACTGCATTGGCACGCAACCTGTTGGTTGGCTTCCTGCTCCGTTTTCTCAGAGAGAAAAATATAATAATTAAAGCTCTAAAACTTATTTAATCTTAGAGAAATTAACTTTACTTTTTAAACTATATTTGTGGCTTGGTTACGACCTTTAATTCTGATTATTTAATCCTCTAAATCCTCCTTTCTCTCAGTGCAACTTCACCTCCTCCAGGTCCAGCTAAACGCTGGCTAAGAGGAAGCGCCTGAGCACGCTGACCAGGAACAAGGGGCTCTTCTCACCCTCCGGTAACAGCTCCTAACTATGCAAAGCCATAAAACGCAAGTGTCGCACGGATTATTCATGGACGGGGAATGAAGATGAAGCGGCCAGAGGGCTGCCAGTGACAGGTGAGCGCACGGAAAGGGAAAGGAGTCGGGAAGACGTCCAGTTCAGGAGTGGCAGATGCGAACGCAGGATATGGCTGGCGGGTGGGAAGGCAATCTAAGAATAGGGCTTCGTGAGAATAGATTGCATTTAAGATTTAAACTTTATTCTATTTAAGACTAATACTTTTAACAGAGAGAAAAATGAAGAGAGAGTTTCAGTCTAACAAAAATATGTATAGCTTTAGAAATTACTTTAAATGTATTGCATTTTCTGGTTTTTAAAATTTTAATTTTCCATCATGAGTACATCTTAGATTTATCAGTCAACCCTTCAGTTCCTCAAAGTAACCCAAAAAGTTCTCAATTTTGATTATAAATTTGCCTACATTTCACTTTTTGTTTAAACACTCAATTCGCTGACTCGAAATAAATTCATTTAAATAAACGAGTGGATTTTTTTGGTTTATTTTAGTCAGTTACATTTGACTGGCTCGCCAGTTCCAGTTCTATCAGGTATCACTGCCTGAAAGCGATGAGTTTCTATAGATTTGTTCTCGAATTATTTGCTCAACGCATTTTTTCTATATTCTTTTTTTATTTGGGTGCGCTTTTTTGCGAATTCGATATGCACTAAAAGTCAATTTATTCACTTGACTTAATTTGATTTCAACCTTCAAATCCTGCCATGCCATTTTTCGCGCAATTGTACTGTATGGAATAATCCGTTTTCTGGATTATCGGATTGGTGATTCTATTACAAAAAGTGACAAATGATAGTTTAATTGGATAGTTTTTTTTGGTTTTATTCTAGAGAAGTTATATATAAACATTTATTTGATAGAAATTAGACATAATTAAGTGTGAGTTAGGGCTTTTATTGGCATAAAGTTTAGGATTTTTAGTTTGTAAAACAGAAAAATAATTATAATTTATATTGTAACAAAAAAGAACGTTCAAAGACACATTTAAGGTAGAAAATACTTTAAAAACTCACACTTTATGTAGCAAAAAATATTACCAAATCAAAAATTTTCACTGCCTCATCACTACCTTTATCACTTATAATATTAAATCAATATTTCCCATATATTATCCACAATAATATGTATGTACATCGTTTAGCCTATATTTAAATAAATCTCTTTATAGGCTCATCAGGTACACACATGTAAATTCCAACAATATTACTCATACGCCACGAACGCATGTCCCATTGATTTAAATTCAAGAAATTCAACAACAGCCGCAATCTGGGCCGCCTCCGCTCATTGTTAACCCGCACTCAATTCCATTTCCAATTCCGAATCCGATTCCCCGGCCCCCTGTACCAAGTCGACTCCCAATATGCTCCACATAACCGAGAGAGTAGGGCCAGGATCTCTATGCCCGGTAATCGTACGTGTGGAAAAGACGTCAGCACTGATTGCTGCATAAATGATTGAGCATGTGTGGTCGTGTGAGTGAGTGTGTGTATGAGTGTGTGCCCCTCTATCCACGATGACTTGCCACAGCCGAATCCCACTCACTATCAGCATTCCTCCATGCAACAGGACCTGCATCTGAACCGATGCCTGGCTGGCTGGCTGGCTGTATTATATGAAAATTGATGGAAAATGCCAAAATATTTAAATCTAATTTTGTGCCAAGCGACGGCCCCTGTCAGTCAGCATTCGCCGAAGCCGCAGGCCCTGCATTCGGTCTCCAAACGTCGTCCAGTTAGCATTTAAATATTTTTTTTTTTTTTTTTTTTTTTTTTTTCGCGCGGGGTCCCGCTTCCACCTCCCGCCCAACCGACCGAGGGGCGCAGCCGCGTGACGTACGGCACGAATCGCGAACTAGATAGACGCGGTAAATGAAAGAAGAAAAGAACGAGGAAACGTTACGAGAGTTACGATACGAGAGTAAAATTTACTAAGAAAAAAAATAAAATTTATTAATATATATATATAAGTAAAATAAAAGTAAAAACGCATGCAAAATAAATATAATAAGTAAAAACGCATGCAAAATAAATATAAAAAAATATAATATTATGTAACTAACTAATAACTACGATAAATAAATAAAAACGCATGCAAAATAAATATTAAAAAAATTAATATAATGTAACTAAATACTACGATAAATAAATAAAAAACGCATGCAAAATCAGACTAAGGTGATACATTACGAGCTAACTCAACAAGTATTAAAGTTTTTAGTACGGAAGGGCTGTCACTACGAATTATAATGTCAGAGAGGCGGTTGTAATCCGTACATAAAACCCTAAAGGGTTCGTGTACTTCAAACTCCCGCCTACAGTGATTTACAAATAAAGGGATTAGGGTTCTAGATGTTAGTCGGGGAACGTGGAAGTTAAGCTGCCCTAAAAGAAAGGGGCTCTCAACATCACCGTTTATTAGGTTATGAAGGAATACGACACCAAGCATCGTTCTACGGTTAGCTAGGGAGGGTAAGTTAATTAATAGGAGTCTACTTGAATAGGACGGTAGCCTCTCATCAGCATCCCAAGGTAGGCCACGGAGGGCGAAAAGTAAAAAGTTCTTTTGTACAGATTCAATACGGTTAATATGGATTCCGAATTGAGGACTCCAGACGCATGAACCATACTCCAATATAGGGCGAACTAACGAAGTAAAAAGGGTCTTCGTTATATAAGGGGAATCGAATTCCTTCGACCACCTCTTAATAAAACCGAGCATGCCTTTGGCTTTATTAACCATGCACGAAATATGTTCAGAGAACGAAAGTTTAGGGTCTAAGCGAACGCCTAAATCATCAACAAGAGATATTCTTTCAAGAGCGCAATCATTTAGCATATAAGTTGCAAACTGTGGAGTGACACGTGAAAATGTCATCAGCTTGCATTTAGAGCTATTGAGGTATAAATATAATTTCTAATCTGTTTTTTAAATCACTAATTGATTACTGGATTATTTACCTTTACATTTTAAAAGAAATTAAGGTATTTATAATAACCTTAATATCTTTTAAAATTTCTTTATAAATATTTATTTATTTTCCATTTATTTTCCGCCCAATAAACAATTCTAATGATTTTCCTATTTATGATTTACGGCCGCCTGCTCGCTTTCTTTTATCTGAAATTTTATAAGAGGAAATTTCACCTGGAATCCATTATTGATAGGCAATGTATGCTTGCCATTTGCCGCATTCCATGGCCATCTGTGTGTGTTTGCTTCCTGTCGCCCTTAAACAGGACTTGAAATGAAATTTAAATACCGGCAAATTGTGTGTCTTGGCACCTGTCCGGGCAACCTTAACTCCCCCCCTTTTGGGCACACCTCTGGCCCAGCGAAGCGTCCAACAATCCAGCGTCATTCGCATTTGCTATTTCCGCTTTTACTCGGCCGTGTTGCTGTGTTGGCATTTCATTTAGCGCACAACTTCACATTTGCCTCAGTCGTTGTCTTTCCTTTGCCCGTCTCTTTTTCCCATCGCTTGCAATTGCCATTTCCGCTTCCTGAAATTTGCCATTCGTTACACACGATACACACGGACACAGACACAGGCACAGGCACACGGGACGAGGACGACTGAAACCGAAACTTGTACAGAAACAGAAACAGAAAGCCGCTCTCCGCATGCACCGACATTTTCATTTCCATGCTTGGGCGCATCGCAGCGAATCAATTATTCATCATCATCGATTAAGTAAGAGGGGCGGGCGCCAGTGCCCCACCAACCCCCAATAGCCCCAATCTCCTGCCCCGTCACACTTTTATTGTTATGATTTCTGCCGTCTGTAATGGGCACACTTGAAGGACTCCAGCGTCGACGAGCAGGACCAACAGAAAGGAGCGGAGCGCCCAAGCTGGAGAAGCAGGAGTAGCAGGACACCATCAGGAAAAAGACAAAGGCCTTACTCCCCTTTTTGGCGGCTGCTCCATTTCGCGTGAATTTTCCTCTCATTTTCTCGGCTTTTCATACGCTGTAATTGGTAGGCGTTAGGGGTATCTAACCATTCGAGTGTATGAGGGGTTTCAGTGGGTTAAATTTGGAATTCATTTAAAGGATACAAGTATATCAATTAATGTAAATTAAATCATAAGGTTATCCCACAGATACGAAAGCTCTTATACTGTATCCTAAGCCCACATAAACCAAAAGCAGAAGAGTTCTAACAATATAAAAATGAATAACCCAAGTGTAATTGCTTCTTCGCGTGACGGAATCAATGGTAAATATAAAAGTCGAGCAACTTTCCTCCTTTCATTTTTGGATTTTTTTTGTGTTATTTTAATGAGAATCGGTGGGCCTTGGGCCGAAACTAAAAGCCGAGATTCGCACACATATGCTGACATATCAATGTGGCGATGGGAGGTGGTGTGTGTCTGCATGAGAGTCGTATATCTACACAAACATAACAATACATCGCCGGTGGAGAGATTGGGGCGTAAAAGTGGGGAAAAGCGGACAAGGAAAAGCGGCTGAAAGAGGGGGAAAAAACAGACACATGTACTGCCGGCCATTTCCCTGCCCTCTCATCATGCCGCTGGGCCTTGCTCCTTGCGCTTATTTTCGCCATTATCCATTAAATATTTATGAAAATTGCTTTTGCTGCAGTTTTATTCACTTTCCCGCTTCACTTTGCATGCGTCGCGCCAAGGGGAATCCCCCACTCACACACACACACACACACACACACTCTCAAAAAGAGAGATATTCTGGGACCACAACGAGGGGCCAGTGAAACAATAAAGCTTAAGATTTCAATTTCCTTACGGCTTAAAGCTGACTCTTGGCATTCGGCCCTCGCTCCCCTCTCTTGTGCGCTTTCTGGGCCCCATAAATCCCGGCAAGACATGTGCCTAGATAATCCAACATTATGAAAAAGAGCTCGGCTACAATAAATATTCGCATCAATGGCGCCATTTTTAATAGCCAAATGTTAAACGAGCTGCAAGGCTCTCTATAATGAAATATGGCCGATGTGATGCTTGATACTCAAGCGCACACAGGACCACTGATATAATCCAGATGCTCAAGACTGGCTTTCGCTGGCTTTTCAAGAATATATATGTTTATATAATTTACGTATTTTATATCTGAGGTATATGGAGAGTGATTAAGTGGAGGAAAACTAAGCCGGAAATGATAACAGAAGCCGGACACTAAATATTTAGTGGATTTAAGTGAGACAAGAAGATTGTTTAAAGTTGCCTGAAGTTTTTGTTGAAATTTTAACAATATTATAAATTATTCGTATTTAGTCTGAGGCTTAAATCATTAAACTATTTTAAATTGTTGTTTAAGACTTAGAACATAAATATTTTCAGAAAACCCTTGACTTAATTTCACCAAATATACGAGATAATAAAGCAGGAGTCCTTAACGAATTTATACTCACCTTCTTGCCTTTGACAGCTAGCCGTTGCTGTTGTAAATATTTCGGGTCTTGGAATTTGATCCTTTGGCATTCCGAGGCCAATTTACACACACATTCTAACGCTCCGCACCGTCCGTTTAACTCATCACCTGCCCTGACACCTGGCGCACGTAGCAGCTATCTAAATTTCAATTAGAGTTTAAACCACCCGGACAGGAGGCGGAACAGAGATCCCTGTAGCGTGTACCAGGAACCAGGTAACTACGCCTTCACCTCCCTTGAAATAACTCAGCTCATTAGTTGCATGTTCATGTGCGGCAGCATTTTTTCCCGAGCTTAAATCACTGAGGGAAGGGAGGGAGGTAGGGAGGTAAGGTTGCAAGGAAGTGTTGCCCCCGCCCCACTATTACATCTCGAGCATATTTACAATATACATTTTTCTGCATTTTTTTTGGAAACGGCGTATCATAAATTTGTTGCGAGGGATTTCGTTTGGGGTATCTGGGCGGGTTTTCCTTTTGAGTAACGATACTTAATAAACCCGCATCATTTTCCCATTTGGTACTCGCACTTCACACGATCCTCGCCCGTGGCCCTCGCTCTCCATCGAGATTCGGCTTCCACTTCCCGTTTCCGTTCCCCTTCCTCTTCCTGTTGCTACTTCCAAATTACCTGTCATTTCGAAATTATGATGCCAAGGCATCGCTGCTGGCTAAGAGCCGGAGGCCTTGTCCGCCTCTCCCCCCCACTCTTGTTCCTGGAGGAACAATTTTTATGTTTATGGCTAAAAGCGCTGCCTAATTTTATTTTTTTTTCTCCTGCCGCAGCCACATATCTCAAACTAATGCCATACTGCTGCTGCTCGTCTCAGAATGTAAAACCTTATGCGCATTTTCCGATTGTAATCTCCCAGCAGGAGATGGCAAGGGCCACAAAAATCATTTCGGGGAATCATCATCTTGCTCCGGGATGCCTGTCATCAGGCCTCCTCTCTCCATACACACACATGGTTTTTTACTCGAAAATAACATGACAGCCCGATGATATCCCCTTAAAGTGGACATTTTCGGCAGGGCGCCAAAGTAAACACGGTGACGGAGGACGACTTGGCATCCTGGGAAATGGTTAATATGAGATTTACTTCTTGCCGAAAGCTGACAACTGAGGTTTTGATTGGTCACAAGGAGTGTGTGGAGTGCGGAATATCCCATAAACCAAATGAAGGACCAGGCGAAAAGCCAACTGGAGATGATGAAGAGGCATTGGACACATGAACACAGATTATGGCATAGAAATGTGAAATTTTCAGGGAATATATTATGCTAAAAAGGGTAAGGTTATGATTTCAGATGTATTGGGGAATTTTTCTCAGGGCTTTGCTGATATTTAAAGTTGTTTAATTCTAGAAATTACTATAAATTTCTAAAATAATCCTCTTAGATTCCTTAGACTTCATTTTATTTTAAAAATTCAGGCAAAAGCAACGGCTAATTTCCCTAATTTATTAAAATTTAACAGAAGCATTCATTATACATTAGAAAACAGAAAAAAAGCTTCAAATAGTTGTTTTATAAACATTTTTTTAAATTCTTAAGTTGCTTTAATTCCACAAACAAACCATAAATGACTTAGCGAATCCAAAAGCCTAGATCACCCTCATTCCTCCCTTCAGACCATCTTCTTCGTTAGCTTTAATTTGGTGGGTAAACCAACATCGTCACCACAATCTCACTCAAGTTCTAGGCCTAAATATTGGGAACCAAGCCGACTTCAGGCAATTTACCTTCCAGGCTACGAATCAGAAGCACACCGGCACAAAAGGCCACCGAACACTTGACGAATGACCAGGAGTTGTGGTCACTGTAGACCGTTCGACAGAATTCCAGAGGCTTCAGCTGCGACCACAGGGACATCTTGAGCCTGAAAAATTTGCAGAGTCAGAACCTAATGAGGCGGGCAGGAGGCTTCAAGGCAATGAATTACTATTTAATCACGCCGTATTTCTTACCAAACACTCGCACCAGGTATTTTTGGATATATGTATATTTGGAATTATGTACGTGCTGTCTGACCAGGTATGTATATAGAGCAGAAACGAATGGCAATTTCATGACACACTTGCTCAAAAGAATTTCTGTTTTCGGGTTTTTGCGTATACATTTTTCATTTTTGAAATGCAAACAAGCAAGTGGGTCAAGACAGCGCCAGCCACCAGCCAGCAGCACACAGATGCTGTTGATTTGGCAAGCTTGTTAATTAGCCAAGAGATTTATTTTGCGAACCATACACACTAACTTATATGCGATAAACAGATTAACTTATATATGCCATATGCGCATATTCACTTCACGGAGCTAAAGTTTTTCTCGTTACTCAGGCACTGATTGCAAATGGTGCAGAAAATTTGCTAGAAAAGAATTAAAGGAATTTGAATATTTGAATGAATTGGTATTTGTGAGGCAATTATTAAATGTAAACCTATTAAATAAAAAATAATTTGTTATACATCTTTGACTTTATGAGGTTTAAATTATACAATTTTTAATTTTTATTTTGTGGGTCAACTGTTTCATCTTTTTAATCTCTTTGTAGTTAAACTAAAATAAGAAACATGTGTAAACTATTAAAAATGATTGACCAGAAAGTCTTGACATAGTTTTAAAATATAACTTTTTTGATATACCAAATTATAAGTTGTATAGGAATTTAATTTAAAATATAAATATTAGAATAAACTAAAGTCTCTTATAAATAAGTGAGAAAAAACCCTAATTGATTGAGAACTGCATTATTTTATCATTATTTTCTCTTCATATTTATTACTGGAAAATTAAAATATTTATAATTTATGCAAATAATGTATAAGTATTGATTATTGAACATCTAAAACTGATTTTCTAAATATTTTTCGATACATTGAAAAGACCATTTTCAGTTTTATTACTCAGACAGAAAAAAATAAAGCTTTCATGCATTTTTCCTAGAAATTTTGTGACACTATTCCGAGGATATATTTTGTACTTAAATTTTAGAATACTTACCGGCAGGGAAGATCTCGAATAACCCCCACAGCCGCCTTGCGAGGATCCAGTGCTTTCGAAGTGTCTTAGCCAAGACTTGATCACATTCGTCGGCGGCGTCTGGTAAATGCTAAACTGCTTCTTGAACAGCCGCTGGGCGGTGCTGATGGAGTCGTTGCTCTTGTAGTAGGCACGTATGACGAACGCCCGGTGCACACCCGTCCACTGATCCATTCTGATTGCAACTGGCAATTCCAATGAGAGAGCGGGCACCGCGTGCCGCCACTGGCACTGTCCATTTGAAAATCTTTAGCTAGCACTTCCGGCTCATGGCCGTCATAAAAAACGATCTTTGGCTGCAAGGATGCACCCTAAAAAATACTATTAATAATGTTTTCTAAAGTATTTCTTAAGTATTTTATTTAATCTTCAAGAAAATTTATTTATTCTTAAGCTATAATATCTTTATTTATTGAATTACTAAAAGATAATAATCTTCTAAAAATTCCATTTAATCAAACATAACCCTCCTTTTTTCTCCCACTGTATGTACAAAAATTCTGTACAAAAAATTCAAACATTCATAATTATTTGAACGAAATTAATTGGTCGTGTAGAGCGGGGGAGCCGCAATGGAGGTGCAATGTGCATCGTTTTTTTCTAAAATTAGCCGCGGCACGACGGCTGACGCGGCGTATGAGCAATCTGAATTTCTCCTTGTTAGAAAATCATTTGCGGGCATCGGCCGTGCTTAAGTTTCAAGTGCAAATTGAGGCAGCTCCCCCGTTCCGTTCTTTGGCTATCAATCAATCAATCAACCAAGCGAAGCCATCATCATTATGCTTCATCAGCGCCAGCCAGCCAGTATAGTCATCAAGGGGGCGTGGCTGATGGAGTTGGATGTGCGCCCAAAATCTACTTGAACTCATTTAAAGTTTTGCTACAAGTTAAATCCGCTTTGCGCTCTTTTGGCAAGTGAGTAAGCAGTTGGCATTGCCAAAGTCTTTAAGCCGTTTTGTTGGCTTCATTGAGCACTCAAAATGCCCTAACTTAAGGGCTTTTGGCTGTTTAATTAGATAACTTGTTGACATATCCCCACAAATGGCAAGAAGTTCAAAGGCAAGCGTACTAATTAAGTGCTGAGAACTGGTAAGAAGATATGGATATGTTTATAAGTGGAAGCAATATTAAGTTTCTTTTCATTTGCAAATTATTTTGGGCTTTTGAAACACATAAGCTTAAAAATTAAGAAATTCAATCGTATTTTGAAGTATTTTTTGATATAAAATAAACATTTGTTAATGGTAAAACTGTTACCTTTCAACCTGCTGAATAATGTAATTTTAGAGTTTATATTTTTGGCACCTGCATTTTATTTAAATATTGTCCATGTATTTTTTGCTATTTTTAGAACCCTTTCTGCAATGCCATTTTCATGTTTATAAGAAAAAGTGTATTCAAGAATTTCCAACGAGAGATCCCTGTTGTTCTGGCTGCTTCTTTGTTGATTTTGTTTCAGAGATTTTTTTTCGATTCGCCATTTTGCTGGACCATCGAGCACGTAACTGCAATACAATGCACGGCCATCGCTTAGATAGATATAGATACATTTATGTAGTATCCGTTGCTGTTGTTGCAGTCAATGCTGCTGCTGTTGATGTTCCTTTTCTATTTTTTTTTTTTTTTTTTTGTCTTTGTTGCTGCTGCAGCAAAGTTAGCAAATGCTGCTGTCGCTTTGCCATTTACACAGTTAGCCGGTCTAACAGGCGTAGAGATTGGGGCTGGAGGCCAAGAAGGGCGGGCAGGAAGGCAGGCATCTATCCATCGCACGTCCAACCTCCACTCCACAGGGACACGGAAAAAATTGCTCTATTTGTTATTTGTTAGAATTTACTTTTCTAAATTACATTTGAAATGAAATAAACTAATAAAATATACAAATAGCTTATACTAAAATAAGCTTTGGCCAAAAACCTTAGCATACTTTTGGCTATATTTAAAATGTAAGCGGATTTTCCTTATACATTTTTTTAGCTTAAAAGTTTATTTATAAAAGAAATTTTTTCAGTGTATATGTCTCTGTTTTGAGTGTGTGTGTGTGTGTGCATCCTTCGTTTCTTTTTGCTGTCTCTGCTTGTCATTTTGACACCTTCATTTGCTCTGAACATTCAGCTCCAGTCAGGGGGCAGTGATTCTGTTTGCTTTCGCTACTTTTTTTTTCTTTCTTTTTCGTGCTCCTTGCCAGCAAAATGTGGGTCCGTGTGTGTGGATGGTGTGTCTGTGTGTGTGGAATTCGAGAGCGTCATTTTGGGTGAAAATGCTTTAAGCTTGGCGGTCAGCAGGAACTGTTGCACCCTACAGCTATAGCTGTAGCATATCCAAGGAGTTAATGAAAACATTTTGAGATAATTGGCACTAAAGATAAAGTTCATTGGGGTTTATTAAGTATATTAAAATACTTGAGAAAATGAGGTATTTAAATTCAAGTTTAAAATGAAATACCTCAAGAAATTGCTGAAGAGATGAGATGTAGGGAGTGTTGTGGAAATTTAAAGGTACCCAAAACTATGCTACAAAAAATAAACACCCAAAAGTTTACAGCGTCATATCATTGCATATTTGTAGGCATATCTTCAAGGGATTTTAAAACTTTAAAGTTAATAAAAATATAAAACAAACTAAATAATACACCACCCCAAAAACAATTACTGCATTAAAAGACCCAATTAAATCAATTTATTTGTTCGCCTTCCCAAAAGTAAAACAAAACAAAATGTATTAAACTCTAAAAGAAATTCGTAATAAGTGTGTAATACGTAGCATCTACAATATTACATCCTTCCGTCGCCTGAGACCCTTTGAACCCAAATGCCTGAAAAGCCCGCATTGTCCTGCAACCCTTGCTAAAAAAAAAGTATAGCAAGAAAATGTCCGAAAAAGAAATCTGGAGGAGAAAAAAGCAACAATGCCAAGACAAATGATCCAATGACTGTCTGACTGCACTTTGCCCCATATCACCCAAAAGTCCAAAAAAAAAGTAAGAAGGAAATACCAAAAAAATGGAAGCAAAAAATTTAAGGAAAATGTATCGGGTTAGCTTGCCCCATCACGTAACCCCTTCCCAGCCTGCCGTCTCAATTTCGGTAAGCGTCCGTTTTTGTATGTAAAGTTGGTGGATTTGGCACCACCCACAACAGCCCATCGCTGGATGATGATGACAAAGGGCAGCGCAAAAAGCCACTCTCAACTAGGTCAAGACTTCATTGTTTATCTTTTTTGGAGGCGCACTAGGCACTAGCATCTGGGCTGAGAGCCGGCAAAGAGGATTTCCACACATTCTGTGTACTTGTGTATCTGGGACTTGGACTCGGACTCAGCCTTGCATTAGATGGTCTCGAGCATTCTTCAGCCGGGAAATTAGCAGGGAACCGAGAGCTCACAGGCTTATATTAAATTTTGCATGGCAAATGCGCCGAAGAAGGTCAAACTGCAGGGTGGCTGTGGCAGCCGGACGCTTTCATAAGCGTTTCACTTTCCGGTGGGGCCGCAGATAAACACACAAGCTATAGCTTTGGCACAGAGAGAAAAATATCTATGATTTCTATAGTTTTTGAAAACTTTACACAAGAGAAAGAGCTAATAGAAGCCACGTATGTAAGTACTTAAGTTTTACTAAATTTTTAAAGATGTTTTCATCTTTTAAGAATTACTAACTCTCTAAAATAAATTGAAATTCAAAGTTTTTAAATTTTGACAAATCTTTTGAAAATAATTATCCCTGTTTTATGCATAATTACTCTCTGTGCAGCAGTGGAATTCAAGGAGTTTGTTTGCAGGGTTGTAAATCTGGCTAAAAACAGGATAGCAAGCTCCGGCAGATGCAGCGGAAGCGGATGCAGGAAGCGGGATGCAGGAACCAGAAGTGGGATGGCAGAAAGGGGAATCCCATCGCCAAGACACGCGCGGATGTAAGGCGCTGATAGCGCCGGCTTATCGGTTACCCGAGAGCTGGGAGCCAAGAGGAGGTGCTGGGAGCTGGCAACTGGGGAGCTCTGGCACTCCCGGGATCCCGGACTGCATCCTGCCAGGGGACACATTGCGTGCGTGGGCATTAAGGGAGCTTTAAAAGTGAAGGAGCGCGTGCGGTGGCGCCGGCGAAAGTCGAGTGAAAGTTGGCAGCCAGAACGGGGCCACTTACTTAGTGGCGTCTTAAGCAGATTTTCCCTGTCTCTGAGCTGAAAAGTGGTCGAAAGTGTATTGGGCGAATTAAAACTGCAAAAAGTCTTAAAGCATAAATATTTATTTCACATTTTATTTCACAGGTAACCTCCGTTAACTGAATTCGTGATGTTGATTTTTACTCCACAAAGGTCACCGATTTTATTGTATCCAGGGGGACAAACAAAATTAGTACCTGGATTTTTAACACAATGGTTACCTCTTCTTTTGTAGTTAGAAGGACAAATCCTATTAAACCCTTTTTTCTCTATACAAATGTAACGGATTCTTATATATCCATTAGGACAAATGAATTGTGTTTGTATTCCAAAAACGAAAATTCCGAGAAGAATATAAAGATGCAGCCACTTCATGTTTCCAGTGTGAAGTAAATTTAGTTAAGAACCTTTAAGTAGTTTGGGTTGATTTGTAACAGTTCCGCTTTAACAATATTGTTTTTGTGGTTATGCATAATAATTATGGTTCTCTCGTCTGTGAACATTAATTTTGTCTGCAAAAATATTGCATATTTTTGGGCTTGTGCAACGCGTAAATTATATCTTACATGTTGAATTTACGGGTTTTAGCGTTAACTTGTACTTAAAAATTGGGATTTAAAGATCGGCATTATTTGGGAATTTATAGGAGTTTGGAAATCGCAATTCTGGTTGGATTTTTAATTTGAATTTAAGGTAATCTTTTAATATCGGGTTTTTAAAATCAAGAATTGAAAATTAAGATTAGGAATTCGGGTCTGGAAAATCATATTTCGAAACTCTTTTAAATTACTTTTCCAAAACTGTATGGCAGTACTTAGCTTGTTACGCACGTTTGTCAGAAGCCACAAGTAAAGTTGGACAACCAAACGTGGTTCTACAAATTTCTCCTTAACCACTTACCCACGCCCTCTTGAGTCGTATACACATGACTTTGACTGTCCAGGACGCACGGCATGTTCGCTTAATGCCAAAGTGCAGCAGCCAAAGCAGCAACAGAATGGTAAACAACATGAACTATTTAGTCTATGTGTGTGAAGGAGTTTTCTCAGGGGGTAGGTGGCTCGCATAGTGGGTACCCACCGTAGCTTAAGCCCAGACCTAGGGGGGACCTTGGCCGCAATGTTGTGCTATAAAATATATAGTATAACGTATGGATTAATCCGAACATCGGTGTGCATGATGCTTTTCTTTTCGAAAGAGCACCTAGAATTGCAACTTGTTGCAGGTTTTAGCTTTTTGCGGTGGTTCCATATGCTGAATATTGGGCCTTATTTATTTTCCTATTTAATATATAGGCAAACTGCACTTGTTTTGCTGGTCGATTTATCATAAAAATTTCACATTCAAAAAAAAATTGACCTAGATTTGAGAAAGTTCTTTTTCCAGATTTTTGTTCAGATTTATTTCAAATCTTAGAAGATTTGCCTTTGCCAAATATACTGTAAAAAAACATTTTTAGGGCCATTTTAAGAAAAAATTTATATTAGTATATTATCAGGAATTATCAAGATTGTCAAGAAATATACCTTGGTTTTCTCATAAATACATTATTAGTATTCTATTTTTTTTTTTTTTTTTATTTAAAAGGTAATAAAATTATTATAACAATTTTCCGTTGGAGATTCAATCCAAAAGCTGTATACTTTACATCGTCAGTCAACAAAACATCTTCGACAATTTTGTAAGGTGTACGCAGTTGAGAGTACTTAATATTAAGATAAAGAGAGCTGTGTGCAGCTCTCTTAAAAGCAAAGCTCTCTTAAGCGAGTGTTTGTTAGAATTACAAGAAGTTTGAAATATAGTATGTAAATATATAGAATCAAAACAAGAATAATTTACATAAACACACAAAATGTATTATAAAGAGCAGATATTTTATTTATACAGATGTACATTATTTAATTTAATTTAATTCTGTTTTCCACAAATGGAAACATCAGACATGGGCATGGATAGATCGACTCGTCTATTGATGTTGATCAATAATATATATATACTTATAGTTTCGTTCATTTTGATGCAGCCTTAAGATATAATACCTTACAAGGGGGTATTATTGTATTGTAAAATTAGCCTTTCTGGCCCACTGTTTGAATTTGCCAACAACAAAACAGGCAGAAACGACCTGCCACCCCCCGCCTGCCACCCACTTTCTGTTACAACGACATGTGAGAGAGAGTACATGTGGCAGAGGGAGAGACTGCCAGAGAGGTAATTGTGTTCTTGTTGTTGGTTTTAGTTTTCGTTCTCGCTCTTTCTCCCTCTCTGGCAATGCAATATGGGACAAACAAACAATTTTTGTGGCATTAATTTATAACTTAATAAAAATAAGTATTATTTTTGGGTTGGTTTCGATGCTTTCTTAATATTAATTAGTAATGCCGAATAATACAACATTGCCAAATATGTCGTTTGCACCAACATATTCATTTACATGGTGCCACTGATCAAAGTTAAAAGCGCTCGAAGTTGAGCTTGCCTGTTGGTAATATTGAAATTAAATGTTATTTGAATACATTCCGGTGAATAAACATTTTTAGAACGGCTTTTAAAAAATGGGTTTTGGTCAGAAAAAGTGATCGTGTGCCCATAGTGCATCGTGAGAGAGGGAGAAAGAGCGAGAACGAAAACAAAACCAAAACCAACAACACAGTTACCGCTTGCCGGTGTGGGTGCGTGTGTGCGTGTGGAGTATCTGTGTGAGCTGCGCGGCTGTAAAAAACACGTACACAATTACAAGAACTCTTGCTGCACCGCTCATACCAATGGGTGGCAAGCTGGCGGCAGCAACGTTGACGCCAACGCCAGCAACGACGCCGGCAGCGGAGCGGTTAGCGACCGAGGAAGAGAGTGCGAGAGAGCGAGTACGAATTCAAACTTTGTGGCGTTCGGTTGGAAATTTAATGTTGGAAAAGCAGCAGAAAACACAGAAAATCGAGAACCGAAAACAGAGGAAGAAGCAGCAGCAGAAAGAAAAGCGACAACAACAAAAGGCAGAATCGAGATTCGCGTGTGCTGTCGGTGTGTACAAGTGTACGACGTGCATTCTGCATACACGTACATAAGTTTAAATTAAATACTTTGCTTAATTAAATACTTCCGCGGCGTCGTTGTTGTTGTTGATTTCTGCCTCTTCTTTACGCGCTTGTCTACGGTTATCGATTCTCGTTGTCTCGCTCGCTCTCGCACACGCACGCAGCGAGTTGTTGTTTATCTGTTGTCTCCCTCTCTCTCTTTCCCTCCCTCTCTGGCAGTTTGCGTCGCCGTCGGTTTTGTTTGTGTACTGAAAAGAAGCAGCAGAAACGGCAGCAAACAAAATAAAAACCCAAGACTGCGAAAAGCATAAATAATAAACAACGAGACAAGTGCAAAGTGGAAAAGCGCAGCCGACAAACAGGTAAAAAGAAAAGCGCTAACGGTGAAAGTGAATTTTGCAAGACCCTGCCTGTCTCTGTATTCGTGTGCCAGTGTGTGTGTGTCGGTTTGAGTGTGGAAAAGTAGCAACAACATTTGTTGAATAAGAACACCGGAAGATTTTGCCACCCACGAAAATTCAGCACAAAAGGGCCGCGCAAAAAGTAGTAGATTTCGCTCTCTCTTTTCCGTAGAGAATCAGGCGCGTGGCAGAAGAAATAAGTAGCAGAAGTAGCAGCAAAAAAAAAAACAGTGTTGCATTTTTCTGCAGCACTGGCGCTCTCTGTCTCTCTCTCTTGCAACCCCTAAAACGGGTCTCTCTCTCTGTGGCTCCCTCTCTTGCTCTTCATATCTAACTCTCTCTCTCTCTCTGCGCTCTGCGACGCTTTTCTTCTCTCTTTGTCGAAGTTTTCCATTTTCCTGCATTTGACTGACATTCGCCAGCACGGCGTCGTGTGAAAAACTACGTGTGAAAAACTCAGGCGGCAAAAAGCTCAGCAATTTCCACTTTACCCCCAGAGCGTGCTACTATACGGAGTGTGTGTGCGTGATTTGCGAATTTATCGGTAGTTTTCGGAGTTACCACAGTTCGCAGAGTTCCCAGGGAGTTGTAAGTGTCAGATTTTCGGCCGATTGACAGGTGCAGTGACACAGTACAGTATTTATTCTTATCGGCCTACACGCTCTTCTTTAATTGAACAATAATGTGATTTTTCGTTCAAAATTCAGAAAATCGTAACAGAGTAAAAACTGAAAAAGAAAGCAAAATAACATTTGCAAATCGGGGAAAAAAGAGAAGTGAAACAAGCTGAAATCGAAGCAAATTTCTCGAGAAAACTAACTGAAAATCTGCAACAAATTTCGTGTGCAATCAAAATTATTATTTTTCATTGTTGTTGTTGTTGCCGCCGCGCCACCATTTTGTAAGCGAAAAACCCAAATCGAAATGAAAACGAAACGGACAAGATATGAAAACAAAATAGAAAAGATATGAAAAGCGCCGCACGTCACAAAGTTCAGCGTTCAGTTTTACCGTTTACCGTTGTTCGTTCGCCGCCGTTCCATTAATGAAAAATCCACCCTCACAAACAAAACAAAATCAGCCGTCCGTCCGTGTGTGTGTGTACTTCTGCGGCAGTGTGCGTGCGTGCGGCATTTTCCATTTTCCATAAGGGTTGTGCACACAGCAAACACACGGGGCCCGAAAAAGTTTTTCAAGTTTACTTTTACGCGATTTTCACAGCACTTCTTTCTCGCTTCCCGGACACGGTCCTTTTTCGTCCTTCCTTCTCTTTGTCCTCTTCTTCGTTTCCTTGCCCCTGCCAGCCCTTGTGCCAAGTCATTCTGACATTTCGGCCATATTACTTCTGCTTTCCGTTCTCTCTTTGTCGCTTTCTCTTCCCGTTCCTCGTTGGTTTTGTTATTTGCCGGCGCTTTTTTGCTGCTTTTCCATCTGTTTTTGACAACTTTCCGAGGGTTGTTTGAGCATTTTCCACTCTCTTCGTCCTTTGATTAATGCCTCCGGTTTACCTTTCCAATTAGAACGAATTATGATTGTCATTTCACGATTTCTTTTATGTTTTTCCACCACACTTGCTTGTATTTCCAAAATAATTGTTCTATATTTTTCGTTTCTCCGGTCTGCCACATAATTAACCCCATTATATTCCGATAAGAAAAGTCCAGACCGATAAATATTGGTCATCCAATTGGAGTGTTTTGAATGAGTTTATTATTATCAAAGTATATTTTTAATTGTGGTTTTATCGATTATCTGCTTATAATTTTTCCTTAACTAATCGTAAGCCACTAAATTGCAGTTTCGTACTGTATAATATTTTCATTTTGTAGCTGGACATTTTTTTGTATTATTAAAAAATAAATGGTTATTTGAATAATTTAAACTCCCTCTCAATTTTTGCTGTAACCTTTAGATACCTAGCTTATCGTATGAATTTTATAGGTTTTTCATTCGTTAAATTCTAGATTCACATCTGCGTGAATCTGAATCCTTTAAATGCTGCTCTTTTATCATCGCGCCAAGTGTGAATTTGAATAAATTCAATTCCACTTGATTGCCTCGAAACATTTAAATTATTTTTTTATGGGCGCATTCAAGAAGGGAATCGTGCCTAAGTGGCATCCTGGGAAGCGTGGAAATTGGAAATGACTGTCGAAAATATATTTGCTGTACTTTTGATTCGTTTTTGATTATTAATAAACCCAAATTTCTCTCTCATTTTTATTCGTCTTGCAGCTGGTAAATCCAACATACAAGAACAGCCAGCGAAGAAACGGAAATTTTATCACGCAAATCAAAAGTGCAATAAAAAGCTGAAAGTGTTTTACACTAAGCTAAAGAAGGAAGTTGAAGATAGTAAATAATTAAGAAGAGCCACAGCTACACCACCATAAACAACTACAACTACAACAACCAACAACATCCCACATCAACACCAACCAACAAAAACAAATATTTACAACTCATTTCTCTCACTGAAGAGATCAGAGTGTGAGCTATATAAATCGCGCGCGCGTTCCCCAAGCGTTTTCCCCCCAAAACGATCGAACAGATCGAAAATCGCGCGCCTTCGTCGCACGTAACTGAATATATATATTTCTCGCGCAACCACTGGGCTCAGGCCACAAAAATCCGCCAAAATTCTACACCAACAAACTTTAATCAGCCCCGAGATTTCGCTCCAGTTCGCAACGGCGACCACAATGCCCTACAACGGCGCTAGCAACGGCAGCGGCGGTGGAGGCGCCAGCGGCGGCGGCGGAGGGGCCACCATAGTCGTCACCGAGGGGCCGCAGAATAAAAAGATCCGCACCGGTGTCCAGCAGCCCGGCGAGAACGATGTGCACATGCATGCTAGGGTGAGTGTTCCATTATTGCCAATATACAAATTCCCAATTACAATTTTCCAAAAGCCCCGAGACACTCGATAAAAAATGAGAAATATATTTTTAAATTGGGCTAAAAAGCTTGTCCTGAAGTTTTAAGAGCATAAAATATTAAACTAGAGACAACATCAATGAGATTAGATTTTTAAAATAGAAAACCCACCAAATTGTATTTTGTGGCTGCAGTTAATTTTTCCAAGTGGAGATCCCACCTTTTCAACAACCCAGAAAGCTCTTAAGGTGGGTGATCCACTGTATCCACCCTTATCAGATGCGATTCCTGTATTACTGGGTGTTTTTGGCCACTCGTCCACCTCACAGCACCCATTCAATCAGCTCTCACCACCTTTTACCACCTCCTGATCCCTGTATACATTTTCGATGGTGTCCGCGGGCTTTCGGGCGGCTGGCCTTGCTGATAAATCCGGGATGGTGGTGGGTAGTTGCTGCTCCGATTCTGATAAAGTTTTACGCATTGGGGGTTGAACTGGCCGAATTGCATGGAGCTTATCGGGGAGTCGCGATTGCAAGACTTTAACGTGATATCGTACAGTTTTATCTGAAATATCACAGAGTGTATTTCATTTCATTTATACTATTAAATATTGTCAAAATTCAAATAGAATATCAAGCATAACTTGAAACAAACATTTATGAGCTTTGTTTATGTCAGAAAACACTTTTCGAATGCATAAAATCATAATATTTTACCAGGAAAATATGTATTTTTCACATATTCATTTATGGTTTGGCACTCGGTGAAGTGTTTCCCAATTCAGATGACTTCTTGGTGTGCCGAGCAGAACTTTCAGTTTCTAAATAAATCAGACTTTAGTCAAGCGTTAAAGTACAAAGGATATAATATTTTTTTAACGGATCCTCGTTCTAAGGGATTGAAGTTGGAAGTATATTTTCTCGTATTCTATAAATCTGATATTATTATAATTATCTCGAAAGAAACAGAGAGCAGAGTTGCGAATTACGTTTCTTTCTACATCGCGCCAAGCACACTTGGTGCAATTAGCTTACAGCTTTCTCTTGCCGCCGGAAAACCATTATAATTTCCCATGGCCTGAAACTTGTGTTCTCACCCACGTTGCCTGCAGCAGCCACTGCGAATGCAACTGCCGCAGCAGAAATAGCAGCAGCAACAGCAGCAACACTGTTGGCAGCAATTGTTGCTGCTCTTGTTGTGTTTTGGCGAGGGTTGGAAAAATCGATTTCGTAGCGTCGACGGTGGCTGGCTGGGCTGGCTGGGAAACTCTCGTTTGTCTGCTGGCGACTTGCCGGCGCTTTATCAGCGCTCGTTGCGATAAAAATGTTGATTCTATGCCGGGGCACAGCAGTCAATAATGGCCAAAAAGGGAGCCAGGGGATAAACACAAACGGGGGGCTGCGCTCGATGGTTTATTGATTCGGTTTTTGGGTGGCATTCTCAACATGAATATTACTTCATTTCGACGAAGGAAATTCTTGTTGTGTGTTTGCCGGCGGCTGGCTGTGTGTGCAATGGAAATGAGAAAGAAAAGCGCCGGAGAGTGTGGAGAGCGACAAGCTCTTCTTGCGGCCGCGCAAAGTATGCAACAATTTTTCTCTTAGCCTGCGCTCAAACAACGCCTAATGGGATGCTCATCGGGCTATAATACATATACATTATGTTGTATATATATAAGCGATATATATATATCTGTCTGTGTGTGGCCTTTGAGCTGTTGCTTCCGTCTGCTTGGGCTGCTGTGTTGCTCCTAGTCCTGTCGTGGCTGCTAGTCCTGATGTGCTGCTGCTGCTGCACACACTTGACTTGACAGCGCAATTAGCACATGAAGCAGCATCTTCTCGTCATTTCAAGAGCTGCCTTTTCCGCAAAAGTCCGCCGGACTGATGCTGCTCCTGGTGCTGGAGCTGCTCCGTTTGTCGCTTTTCCACTTGGCATCGTTTACGCTCTCGCTTTGACTGCCCTTGCAGCCAGCGTACCTGTGGGCTCCTCATCCCCTAGTCCTCCACCATTCGTCATCCCTCCTGGAACTGCGTACGTGCCCAAAAGGCGGAGGAGCAGCAGGCCGCCAGTTGGTTGCTCTTCCATGTGATTAAGTGCACTCGTAGGCGGATGCGCTAAATCCCACGAACGAAGCAAAGGCAAAGAAACTTTGGCCCACTCGTCGTCGACGTCGTCGTTGTCGTGTGGCAGGTTAAACGATTTAGTTCTTGCCCTTTCGCCAAAGCAGCCAGAGATCAGACAATGTGTCAGCCACGAAGGCGAGGGCGGGACGGATGTATGGAGGAGCTCTTGGCGCTCTTGCAACTCTGACCCACTAATGGCAGGTTAAGCCCCAAAGTTGCGAAAGGAAAATCCAATAGAATATTTCCAAGTATCTGTGGAGCATTTCAATGCGGCTCAGAGCTGTTTGTAGAACTTTGAGCATTAATTAAAGTTAATCTTACGAAAGGCAACAATATTTCAATTAAATTTGTATTAAAACGTTTCAAAATTATCACAAGAAATGTTTTTGATATTTATATTTGTGGTTTAAAAGTAGCTGAGGGCCAAAGTATCTGGAAAATAATCTATATTTTGAGAAGGCAAACTTTAAATTAGTAATTCTCAGTTAGTAATGTACATTTTAAATTTAGATTTTACCGTTTTAGCTTCTATTTTGTATATAACCTTTGTAGCCTGCAGACATTTTCAATTTGCCGAAAGGATAGCCCTTTGTGATTCCATCTCCTGTCTGAAAATCCCATATGCAAGCCACCAAAGTCTGTCTGGCATCCGATAAAATCATCAGCATCAGCATCATGCTCGCGCGTCGTCTGTCATTTGCACTTTTCACCCAGACTCACGTTTCCCCGTTTTGGGAAAAGGGTCAGCAGCCAATGCGTTTGGATGCTGCGACATCGTCACCGAAAACGCGACTTCCAACAGCCGCCGATGCGTCTGGCAGCGTGACGCATGCTGCAGAAACAGAGAGAGATCCACACACACACACACAGTGTTTCCGACATGGTCATGGCAAATAAATTCTGCATCCAGACCCCGCCCAGCCAGACTCCCGACAACATCCTCCTATCCTCGCATCCATCCATCTATCCATCCAGACAGTTATAAATAGAGAAGGCAGGCGCACAGACTGCAGTCTGACCAACGGACGATGCATCCTTGGCAGCCACTCCACAGCACACCACTCCACTCGACTCCACACCACTCTGCTTCACTCCACTCCACTCCAGTTGCCAATGATGTATTCAAAAAATCAGAAACCATTTTTTGGTGGTGCGTGTCTCGAGGCCAAAACACGAATGCCACCCCGAAAGTGGAACCCAAACCCTGTCCTAGATTTGAACCTGCTAATGGATAGGATGCAACGGTCAGAGTGCATTTTCCATATACCCCTTTTCCGGGGGAGTCCTGTTTTGCACTGTTGTTAATTAAATGCATCACATCACCCTGACAACAACATGGGGTTGGAATACATCTTCAATTTCGGTTTTGGCTTTTTCAGCGATCTAGTTACCTTTATTTTTTTGGAGCTGACCAGCAGCTGCTGGGTCGCTGGCCTTTTATTAAAGATAATTGATTTTTATTGTCTTTTGCGTTTCAAGTTTTAATTGCAAAAAGTTACCATCGATGTGACCAGGTCCAGGGATGGGATGGGTGGTGTGCTTAAAGGAAAGGGTTGTTTGTCGTCCTTGATGAACGGGGTGGGTTACACCCTCGTAGCTTGGTCCGTTTCCCCCCGTTGCAGTTGTGTAATTGAACTAATTGAAATTGCTGTTTGCCTTTGACTTTAAGGTGGAGGAGTGTCCTTGGCCCGGGCATACTCACTTTAAATCTGTAGGATTTTTTGAGATAGCTGCATCGTTCTGACGACTAATTGGCCGGCGAAGAGGATGCCTGCCTAACTAAGCTCTCTTGTCTGGGCCAAAGCCAAAGGCATTTACCAGGCGAGTATCTGGCTTTCGTTTTGTCTTTCCGCTTCCGATTCTGATGCTGGTGAAAGCCTCCAAAATCGAGCAATTTATCTTTGTTGGCAATAGTGCGAGTTCAATCGGGCTTGGTTAGAGCTTCATGGTGCATCATCATTATCAAAGTTATCATCGTGGAACGTAGCAATTGTTGCAATGACTTTGATTCTGGATCCTTGCGTATCGATGGTCGATTGATTTTCGAGTTTCTTTTATCCAATTTTCGGTCATAGGAAACGAAATTCCTCGCCTGATTCGCATTTTAAATGAGACGAGCACAGCTGTGTGCATAGTGAATAATAATGTTCTTTGCTCATATTTCGGTCAAAGCCATCATAAATTCAAATACGAAAGGAAAGTCTTGTCCAGCACTAGAAAACAACTCGAAATATGTTTATGAATTCTTAAAGAGATCAAAGTACGTAAGCACAACATTCTTGGGACTGAAAAACTGATTTTCTTACAGAGAATGCGCTGAATTATTGAGACAATAGTTGTGTTTCCTTAGTTTTACATATTAAATGATATTTTTCCTTGTTGAATTATTAACGACCTGCAGTTACATTTAATCTATCTTTTTGTGTACCAACAAAAGAGGATTAAAATTAAATATTACCGAAGAAGTACTGCAAATATATGAATTTGTATAGTTATTTCCTTGAATGCTAACTGCCAGCTCAATCTTACAAATAGAGTAATCAAAAATTACTGCTTAAACAAGACATCAACCTGCGATGACAATGACGAAGATGATGGTGCGGGCGTGGGGATTGATGATGAGGTGTTGCTGGCGTTTCAAATTAACACCTTGTCATTATATTTTATTTCGAATCTCTTTCTTTGCGTGCGGGGCAAGCGTAATAAGGCGATTTTATGGCATTAAAAATACATAATCTAAGACAGCACAAAAGTGTTTCCAAAAATAAATTGTCAAGTTTGTGTTTCGTTATTTTTCCTGTTTATCTGTTGGTTTTAATACCGGGTATACTGCTGGAAGTAGGGATATTCTA